GTAGTTAGGTTTGATCTGCCTGCTTGCACTACACGCTCAGCAAGCTTGGATCTCCCAGACATGATCAACTTGAGGTTGAGAGCTCGCTTGTGCTTTTTTTTTCCCGTGTACAAATCGCATTGGTGAAATGCAAGCACTTCGGTTGCGCGAGACGTGACCGACCGTCGCAGTTTTGGGTGATAAGTTGCGACAATTTCTTCTTCGGAACGATCGCTATCATCGGAAAGCTCGCCGTCATCGGAAAGATCATCCGGGTCGTCGTGCTCGTCGGGGACGGCTTGACTGGCTTCTTGGAGTTCTCTGGCCGGATCGTTCAGCCAGGTCAGTACACGATTAAGTTCGACGTGCGATCCGTGGTTGATAAACATGCTGAAGTTTGGTTGCTTGACCTTCAAATCCTTGTAAATCGGCCTCCAAGAGGGCAAAGCATCATGCAACTGTTTGAGCGCTCTAACCGCAACGTCCCTGTCCGTAATTGGATAGGTAAAAGTGACATGGGTTTTGATTCGGGGTTTTTTGAACAGGTTGACACGAAGGTTAAACAGATCCTTCATGATTGAAGACTGAGCATCACCTTCCAAATCGTCCGTCCTATTTAAGGGTTTCGTTTTTTTTACTTTGGAAATCCAACACTTCTCGCGTCATCGACAACCAATCAAACATCTCGAGGATGCTGCCATCAGATAAACAACCCAATTTGAAACGAAACACTCAAATGCAGACGCTTCGAACAACTTAGTCTTCCAGCAATGAGAACTCCTTACCTACATCCCATCCACCTTGTACGGCAAGCACTCCTGTAAAGGCCGTTCAACGAGATGTGTTCGTTACTTTTTGCTTTATCTTGTTTTTGGACTTGTAGTTGTTTTTTTGTTTTTGTTGTGGTTGTTGTTGTTGTTGGGGGAGGGGGTTTGGGATTTTTTGATTTATTTTTTTTTTTTGCGGTTGACTTGACTACTCGCTCGACTCGACACTCAGCTCACGCATCAGGCCTGATACGATGGACATCCTGTTTGAAGAACACTAGCCTAGAAGCACGTACGGTCCAGTCTCTGTGGCACAAGCAGAACCCCGTAAACTGTAGGGACTGAGTCATTGACAATCGATTCGGTTGCGATTCGATCGCGAGATAGATCCGGCCCCGCTATCCAGCCCTGTCAGGACCCAGTACGGCCAGCAGCCTCCGAATGACAATTCTATCAACGAGCTGCGTGCACGTGTGAGCAGCGCAACAGCGGCTTTTTTGGGGGCAGGGGCTGCGCGTGCAAAAGCAATCGCAACTCAGCTTGCTGGCGTGTTGTTTGTTTGTTTGTTGTTTGTTGTGATGTGGCCACACTCTCGCGTCCAAATCTGGATTCGAACTGAGTCGTGTTTCGTCATATCTGGTTTGTGATTGTTGTTGCTGCTGGTGTTATGGATTGATGTGTATTTATTGGCTATTACGAACTGGGCTCATCCCTAATCGGTCTTCCCCTCATTCTTCACTATATTCTTAGTAAACGATACTTCCGCGGGTAAGGTCGTAACAGTCTCAATGAAGTCTCTTGTTTCCATATTATTACTCTCAACATGTCTTCGTGGAGCGATCTCTGATCATAACAGATGGTGAAGTGTGACTACTGCAATCGCGATCATACGCAATGTGCCTCCTGCGGAACGAATCTTTCGGAGATAGGCGCGCACTGCCCTGGTCCTAAAGGGACTACGAAGCTCTGTCCCAAAACTGCTGTGTGCTGCCCTGACTGCTGCAGCAGCAAAAGTTGGCGCTGTCCGAAATGCTGCGTCTGATGAATCGGCCGGCGCCAGCGAAGACCCGGCCGCCAGCTCACCGAACAAAGAATAGTCCGAGGACAAATCGCTCTTTTTGAATTTTGTTTGGAACGGGGACAATAATTTCATTGATCCTCCTGCTTCTTGCTTTTGTAGTTGTGAATCATTCTTGAATACACCCCTGAAAAAAAACACTTGGATGGTTGGTTGAATAGAACTTAACCTGGAATTATCACTGAAGCGTATGAAATGAATGCGAAAGTTGAGCGATGAGTCATCATGCATCTCTGTGCGCCACTGGGTAATGGCATGAAATACACGAGCTGTGTATGAAAATTGGCAAAATCCACTTTGAAGCTCACGTTCAGAGTCCGCATACGCTCAGTCTCTATCCTTCTTGCTCATCGTAGCCGGATAACTCTGACTCGCTTCCCCCCCCCCTGCCACTTCCGTCCTGTTGAATCCTTATTTCACCTGTGTTCTCATCCGCCTTTTGGCTCTTTGGATCCAAAAAAAAACCCAAGCCAATCGGCTGCCCACCCATACAAAAGCTGTCAAAATGCCACCACGACTCGCGCCCTACGTTCTGACCGCACTCGCGTCGTGCATCATCACAACACAAGTCTGCTTTGTCCTGTTGTCTCCCGACCCGCGGCTGCGCTCGGATTGCGCGCTCGTTCACTCTGCTGCTCCACTGGGAGCTGGAACTGGGCCAGCACCCGAAGCAGGATTGCCTCCGACCAGACTCCTTCCGGCCCAACGATTACCCATGCAAAACCGAGGCAATGCAATACTCGCAAATGGTCCGCAACAAAGCGCTGACACTGCAGCATGCGCATGCACGCCCAATTCAACCCTTGCCGACTGGAACCAAGCAGCTCCTGCGTACGCCCCTCTGCGACCGGAAGGACTGCCAGTCATCTATGTCATCACTCCATCCAAGCCCGGTCCCACACAAAAGGCCGATCTGACGAGGCTGGCATCGACGTTGCGCCAAGTCCCAGCGCTCCACTGGATTGTGATTGAAGACCAGCCTGCTCCCACTGCACTCGTTGCTGCCTTGCTCGAGCGCTCTGGCATGCGTAACTCATACTCGCATCTGGCCGTTCAGAGCGAGGCCGTGTCAGCGGGGCCACGCTACAAGACTGCGCGCGGAGTCGAGCAGCGCAACCTGGGCATTGCCCACCTGCGCGAGCTGGTTTCTGCTGCTGCTGCTGCTGCTGCTCAGCTCAAGCGCAGCCCGCAACGACCTGGAGACCAGCAAGGCGAGTCTGAAACGTCCGCTCCAGAGGGGGTGGTCTACTTTGCAGATGACGACAACACGTACGACTTGCGGGTTTTTGAAGAAATGCGCTTCACCCAACACGTATCTGTCTGGCCCGTGGGCATCGTTGGCGGATTAATGTATGAAGGCCCGGTTGTCGATTTGGCAACACGTCGTGTTGTTCGCTGGCACGTCGGGTGGAAGAAGCAACGGCAATTCCCCATCGACATGGCCGGATTTGCAATCCACGCCCGAAACTTTATCAACACGCCCGGAGAATTGCTGTCGCGCTCGTCACCCCGAGGGTACTTGGAGTCGCACTTGCTAGCACGCTTTGTGCGCCAGCTCGCCCAGCTCGAGCCCAAGGCCGACCTGTGCAGCACGATTCTCGTCTGGCACACGCGCACCGAAGCGCCCGACTTGTCACAAGAAGAGGCCCACCCGTCCGATCCATTGGTTGAAGTTTGAGTCATGTTAGTGCTCGCGCTTCTGCAAAGGGGTGAGCTGTTTGTATGTCAAAGCTTTTTCCATGTTGTACGTTTCTGTTCCGATTTCGCTGTACATTACATTTTATTCTTGAACCAACCATCCATTCAATCCACTTCGCTATCATGTCTTGCAGCTTGTCATACCCAAGTTTGTCCACTTGTCATTCCCTATTTTTTTTTTTCACTCGCAGCAGCATGGACGACTCGGCGACGGAGCGCACAACTTCGAAGCGACCGTACGCGGACGACTCGCGCGACTCCCGCGACTCCCGCGACTCTCGTGATTACCGAGACTCTCGTGACTCTCGTGATTACCGTGACTCTCGTGATGGTCGCGACCGTGAGCGAGACCGGGAACGCAGCAGTGCCAGCGCCAGTTCCAGCAGCCGATCGAGCTCGAGCCGGTCTGACTACGACCACCGCGATTCCCGCGACCGAGACCGAGACCGAGACCGAGACCGAGACCGAGACCGAGACTACTCTCGCGACAGTCGTGACAGCCGTGACTATGGCAGGGACCACGGAGGACGGGACTATGGCCGAGACGACAACCGATCGTCGTCCTCGTCGTCGTCCTCAAGCATGAGCAAGCGACCAAGGATGGACTCGGACGCCCCTGGTGCTTCTGGTGCCTCTTCATCATCATCATCGTCGTCGTCGTCAGTGCTGTCTGGCGCTCGGTCTGGAGCCGGAAGCGATTCGACACTGGGCGATGATGCTTCTGCTGCTGGATCGTCATCCTCGTCCGCATCGTCGTCCAGCAAGCGTCAGCCGCTGTCATTGGAAGCCCTCGTTGCTGAGCGACAGCAGCAACAGAATGTGCAAGACAAGGTAACAAAAGCATCACCAACCGAATGTGTCATTTTGGGTTGCGATTTCTGAGATACTGACTGTTTTTGGATTTGTGTTTGCATTGCTTTTGTTTATCATGTGCACTCCTCTTTCATCATGCAGCCGGTATTTCTCACCAAGGAACAGCGCGCAGAGCTGGCCATCAAATGTAGCCAGGACGAAGTGAATGCCCAACGTGCTCGACTCCAGGGTGGCATTGCCATCTTGGCAAGCGGAGCAAGCTCATCCGACCACTCCATGTCCACCTCGAGCGGTACTAGTAGCAGCAGCAGCAGCAATGCCGCCGGAAGCTCGAATGGATCATCGTTCAACCGCGGCAGCAGCAGTGATCGCGATCGTGATCGCACCGACCCATATTCGCGCTTCTCATCAGACCGTACTTCCTCGAACGATCGCGACCGTCCCCGCGATAGTCGCGACCGCTTTGATCGTGGTGGGCGCGACAGCCGCGAGCCGCGTCGCTCCGAGGCTGAAATTGCAGCCGAAGAAGAGCTCAAAGCAAACAAGGTGCGTCTTTTTTTTTTTTTTTGTTTGTTTGTTTGTTTTCTTTCCTTCTTCCATTTCAACCTCCATGCAACATGTTGCTGGCCAAGCCACTAACTTATATCAATCTCATTCTGTCACATAGGAACGCTACTTGTCTGGCCAGGCCGTCCAAACAAACCGCAAACGCTTGGATCGCAAGTTCCTGTTCGAATGGGACAACCAGGACGACACGTCCATGGATTTCAACCCCTTGTACAAGGAGCGCCACCAGGCCCAGTTGTTTGGCCGTGGCCATATTGCTGGCATTGACCCGACGAGCCAGCTGAAGGCGTCCTTCTACCGCGACTATCTTTCTGCCCGCCAAACTCAAGAGGAGAACGAGCGTGTCGAGTACGTTCCAGTTTTTTTGTTCCCTTCCTTGCTTGTTCGAGCTTGGCAAACGTTCTTTGTGGATGTGTATCATGAGTCCTGCAGCCGCTCACGCGTTTCATTTTCCCTTTCTTTCAGAGAACGCCGGCGTGAAGAACTCCTCAAGGAATCCCGAGTCAAGTTTGACGAGCGCCATTGGGCCGACAAGCCGCTGGACCAAATGACAGAGCGTGACTGGCGCATCCTGCGAGAAGACTACAACATTGGTGCGAAGGGCGGCCACATTCCACGGCCGATGCGCAACTGGAATGAGATTGGCCTGCCAACTGAAATCCTCGACATTATCACGGATTTGGGCTACACTGAGCCGTCGCCCATTCAGCGTCAAGCCATCCCCATCGGCCTGCAAAACCGCGATGTTATCGGCATTGCGCAAACGGGCAGTGGTAAAACGGCAGCCTTTGTCATCCCGCTTCTCGTGTGGGTTTCACGCATTCCGCGCCGCCTGCGCGAGCAGACTGTCGACCATGGTCCCTTTGCCATCATTATGGCGCCAACCCGTGAACTTGCCCAGCAGATCGAGGTCGAGACGCTCAAGTTTGCCAACCCGATGGGCCTGCGCACCGTCTGCGTCATTGGTGGTGTACGTCTGCCTTGTTTGTGTGTTTACTGCGTGTGTGTAACTGCTTGATTTTGCTCAACTGACTCCTCGCATGTCCCACTTGTACTCGCCTCACCTCCTCCAGCTTTCTCGCGAAGAACAAGCCTTCCAACTCCGGCTGGGCTGCGACATTATCATTGCCACTCCTGGTCGCCTGATTGACATTCTTGAAAACCGCTACTTGGTGCTCAACCGCTGCACATACATTGTGTTGGACGAAGCCGATCGCATGATTGACATGGGTTTTGAGCCGGATCTCAAGAAAGTGCTCGACTTCTTCCCGGTCTCCAACATGCGCCCAACGGACGAGCCGGACGAAGCCCTTGACGCGGTGACTTACCACACGCAAAAGTTTGAAAACATGGACATTGATTCGATTGTCAAGACGCGCTACCGCCAGACAGTCATGTTCACAGCCACCATGCCTCCGCTTGTGCAGCGGCTGGCCCAGCAATACATGCGCAAGCCTGCAGTGGTCACCATTGGATCTGCAGGCCAAACCGTCGACCAAGTCACGCAGGTCGTGGAAATCATGACCGAAGCGAACAAGCGCAAGCGTCTGCTCGAGATCTTGGGCGAAGAGCACGAGCCCCCAATCTTCATTTTCGTCAATCAAAAGAAGGGCTGCGACTTGCTGGCCAAGTCTCTCGAAAAGCTCGGCTATCGCGTTGCGTCGCTCCACGGTGGCAAGACGCAAGAGCAGCGTCAGGCCGCCCTGGACGGCTTCAAGTCTGGCGATCTCGATCTGCTGGTTGCCACGGATGTCGCAGGTCGCGGTATTGACATTAAGGATGTCTCTCTTGTCATCAACTACGACATGTCCAAGACTGTTCAGGGTATGATGTCAAAAGAGGTGTTGTTGTGTGTGGGTTTGAGAGTTCTCCTCACGTTGGCTTTTGCCTTTCCCCCTTCCTTTTGCAGAGTACACGCATCGCATCGGTCGTACTGGTCGTGCCGGCAAGAAGGGTCTCGCCATCACCTTCTTGACCAACGAGGACACGGGCGTGTACTACGAGCTCAAGCAGATTTTGATCAACTCTCCAGTGTCCAAGTGCCCTCCCGATCTCATGAACCACCCCGAAGCGCAAAACCCGCCCGGTCAGATGTCCAGCAAAGATTTGCGCAAGATGGGTTTTTAGAGCAACTTGCAGTGTTTGAGAAGGTTTCAAAAGTTTGTATTCTTGTTCGAAACGTTCAAAGTTTCGTTCAACAAATTCAAAAGCTGTGTTCAACAAGTTCAATGTTGTGTTCAACGAGTCTTCTGATCCGTGTTCCTCTCCAATGTTTTACTTTCAGAAACCAATCATCATTGAAGTCACCAAATCATTCGAGTCGAACAGTGCAAGTCAAAAGTGCTGATTCACCGAACGCAGTCAATCTACACTCTCAGTTGTACTGCCCCTTTCATTTCGCATTGAACAGGTTGGTTCATATTGACAACACCAGTACTTGTTTACTTCTGTGATGAACACTTGCTTTGAGCTGGAGACTCCCCACGCAAACCAACGCAACGAAAAAACAAAACAAAAACAAACATCCTTCTTTCACCAGCACAACTCGCATTACACCACCCACTGCTTTTCGTTGAACCCGATGATGGCTAACTTGTTCGGATTGTGATGCGACAGCTTCTCCGACTTCGTGTAGGAACAAATGGACTCATCAACCGGTTCGACATCGATTGTCTCGGCAGACTCATGCAACACATCTGATTTGATCGCTTCCCTTCGCCAGCAACTGCAAGAATGCCACGCTGAGTGCGAGCGCTCTCACGCTGCTCTCGAGACGGAAAAGTCAGCTCAGCTCCGCATGACGGGCGAGCATCTCGAGCGCGTTCGAGTTTTCGAGTCGACGATTGCCGATCAAAAAGTCCTCATCAAACAGCTTCACGCCGACGTGGATCATCTTGAATTGTTGATGAAAATCGGTCCATCTGCGAGCAACCCATCTGCGAAAAACCGCGACCTGACCGCTCAAAATCGCGACCTTGTTATTCAAAATCGACAACTCTCCGCTTCTGTCAACCGTCTGACGTTAGAAAAAAGCAATCTTCTCCAAGACGCGCAGACGTTGCAAGCCAAGATCCTTGCTCTCGAGGCCACGGTCGCTCATCAATCCTCTACCATCTTAGAGTTGAAGGCCAAGATCGCCGCTCAAGATGAGAAGATCGCTGGTCTCGAGACCGCTTTTGAGGAGTTCAAGGCTCAGGCGGCTACAAAGGAAGCTCAGGCGGCAGCAAAGGAAGCTCTCCTCAATCTTGGTGCTTCCATGTCCACGCTTGTGAATCACGTTCTGAAAGAAGCGTTTCCCGATCGTGCTGCTCGTCGAGATGCCTTCGATGTCTGTGCCGAAAACTTTTCGGGCCGCGGGCGCTACTCTCCCGCTTTGTTGTCGGGCGGCCGTCTGACTGAAGTTTCGAACACGGTCAGGGACGATGATGAGGCGGAAATCAAGAAACTGAAGGAGCACTTTACAACAACCAAGTGGTCATTCCGCAGCTTCATGGTTGCGTACTGGCTCCTGATTGCGTACGGGCTTCGCAGTCGGTTCCACGCACTCGCGCACTATGGCGCTGGCAAGACTACCGAACAGCTCAAGGCTGAAATGTCCCAGCTGCCGGAAGAATACCGTCTGTATGCGCAAGAGGATCTTGACAGCATCCTCTCTCTGCCCTGGCTCGACTAATCTTGCAAATGTTTGAGTTGTTCGGTTCCATCAACACGTTTTTTTGCTGAGGATCGATGCTCTAATATTCGACCATGCCGCGAGTTCTTTCTCTCCCCTCTCAAAAAAGCACTGAGGATGAACATCAACCCTATCTCCAAGCGTTTGTTCACGAGGCAGGACTTGACTGATGTTATTGGACATGCAGTTTGCGCCGACTCGACTTTCCACTCAAAGTTTACTGACCCAGTTTAAAACTACCAAATCATTCGAGTTTGCGTTCAACAATGAGTTCACCCAACAATTTCAAACCAATTCCTCGAATCCAATCACAAAATGAACCAAACAACAATCCAAAAATGAACGAGTTGATTATTTGGAGAGAACAAAACACATCAAACATTAACAGGCATTCACAGGCAACACCAACAAACGTTTACTTGTTGGCAATGGCGCCAGAAGCGCCGGCAGCGCCGGCAGCACCGATAAGACCGTTGGCAGTGTTGAACAGGTTGATGGGCGAGTTGCCGTCGGTGAAAATGGTCGACTGGAGGTTGAGGGCCTGGAGCAGACGGACCTTGGACTCGCTCTCTGCCGAGAAGATGGAGCGGAGCGTCTCGGGAGTGAGGGCCTTGACAGTGTCCTCAAACTTGCGGGTCTCAATCTCGGCCATGTCGCGGGTCTTGACAATCTCGAGCTCGTTCTGCTCGCGAACGTACTTGGTCTCGGCCTCGCGGGCAGCAGTCAAGCGCTCGAGCTCGGACTCGGCCTCAATGCGCATGGCCTCGGCCTTGAGCTTGGCCTGGTTGACGGCAGCCTCACCCTCAATGCGGGCAGCCTCAGCGCGGGACTGGGCCTCAGCCTTGGCCTGACCAGTGGACTCGACGGCTGCGGACTGGGCCTGGAGCTCGAGCAGCGATCGGCGAGCCTTCTCGGCCTCGGCCTCAGCCTCAATCTTCTGGCGCTCGAGGCGGCCCTTGGCCTCCTGCTCGAGACGCTCGGCCTCGTGGCGAGCAGCAGCCTCCTGCGAGTTGGTGGTGATCTCGATGGCGAGTTGGACGGACTTTTGCAGAGCGTCGCGGGTGCGCTGGTCGACGGGCTCGACGGACTGAATATCAATCGAGGTGATGCAGAGGTTGTTGGAGGGGAAGACAAACTTGTCGCGGACCTTGCCCTTCTCGTCAATGCCAAAGACCGACGCACGGATGATCTTGGCAGAGTTCTTGTGGAAGTCGTCAAACTGGACAGAGGCAACGGCGCCACGAACGCGAGAGGCAATGGCCTTGCAAGCGTCGCCGACAAAGTCGGGCACCGAGAAGAGCTTGGCGGCATCGTCAGTGTTCTTCTGGTCGACCTCAAAGTGCCAGTTGTACGAGAGCTGGAGCTGGAGGCGAGCGTGATCGGCAGTCTCGATGGTGATAATGTCAGTGAAAAAGTCGGGGCCGAGGAGCAGGCACAGCGCCTTGATCACGTTGGGGCGCTTGGGCTTGCCGCCAGAGAGCGAAAGCTTGGTGAACTGTTCGTCGGGGCCAAGCATGACAAGCTCGGGGCCAAAGACAACGCGGGCCTTCTTTTCCTTAAAGTCGTAAATCTGGACGGCAGCGTTGTGAGGCACGCGGAAGGTGACAATGCGGGTCATGTCGCGAGCCTTGCCGGCAGCCGGGGGGTCGCGCTCAGAGCGCTCGGCAAGCGGATCGCGGCCAGAGACGAGCAGCTGCTCGACAGCGGCGGGCAACTCCTTCTGCCAAAGCTCCTCGTTCTCGTTGAGCATGTACGTGATGCCCTTAATGTCGCGAACCTTGCCGGTCTTGGTGTCGCGGACATAGATACCCTCGTTGGCGTCGAGCGGGATGGCCTTGCGCTTGGAGACAACCTCAATCTCGACGGGGGGCACGTACTCGACGGGGCCGCGAATCATCCAGCGGTCACCGGGGGAGCGCTTAATGTTGGCGCCGCCCTGAACCTGCTCGACAAACTCCTCGTTGGCTCGGAGAATCAGGCCCTCGTCCTCGCCGAGAACGTGCACGCTCTGGATGCCGCGCTCGAGCGATTCGCCGGGGCGGAGGAAGAAGGACGTCTCGCCCTTGACAAGACGCTTCTGGCCGAGCTGGGGCTTGCCGTCAGCACCGACAGGGTCGAGAATGACGGCGTACTGGCGGTTGGTGATGGTGGTAATGTTGATAATGCCAACAACCTCCTCGTAGACGGAGGGGATGTGCGCCTCAGTGTCCTTGAGGGTGATGAGCCACTCCTCACCGTTCTTGCGGACCTGGTTGTAGGCGTCCTTGAAGGTCTTGGTGGCACGCAGGTGCAGGGCCTTCTTGTCAGTCAGGACAAAGGCGTTGACCACGTCGACAACCTCCTCGTAGGCGCCGTTGAGGTAGGCACCAACCTTGCTCACAATCCACTCCTCGCCAGTGACGCGGACGACGCCATCGCGGTCGACGCAGTCCTTGCGGGCGCGGAGCTTGAGAGCCTGGTTGGCCTTGATGATGGTGGCGCGGATGGTCTCGGCAACCTCGACCTCGACCTGGGGAATGTACGTGCCAGGGCCCTCAAAGAGCCACTCGTCGCCGGCAGTGCGCTTGGTGCCGTCCTCCTCGGAAAAGTCGAGGACGGCGCGAAGGCGCAGGGCAGAGTTGGCGGGAACAGTGCGCAGGGGAGTGATCTTGCCAAACAGGACTTCGCCGGGGTACAGGGCAAAGGGGTCGACGTAGCGGCCCTTGGCGAGGCGAATCTCCTGGTCGGCGTGGCGCAGCTTGACCTGGCCGTCCTCAAAGATAATGTCGCCCTTGGCATCGCGCGCAACCGGGTTTTCGATAATGCAATAGTTGCGAGGAGGGATTGAAATCATCTTCTCGGGGCCGTAAATGACATTCTCGTGGTCCTGGCGAATGAACGTCTTGGGGCCGACCTCGACGCGTGTAATGTTCGTGTTCTGGTCCAGAACGTGCAGGTAGTAGTACGGCGGGATGCGGTACAGGTTGGGCTTGCCCTCGTTGTTTGACTTGGACGCCATGGTTTAAGATGGTTGTGTGTGTGTGTGAAAATTGACTACAAGGAGTTGTGACAATCAGAGTGAGTTTGAGTCGAGCAAGTTGGTGCAAAAAAAAGTGTTTTGAAGGTGTGCAGTACCGAAATACAATCAGAAGAGAGAGAGAAAACAAAGAAGGGTTTCAATAACGAAAAAATTGTGGATGATGAAATAGAATGTAGTCAAGAATCAGAGAATGGAGTGATGTTTGAATCCAACAAAAGAGAGAGATAAAAAAGAAGACTGAGGGAATGAGTGGAAATGCGATCGCCTTTTTAAAACAAAAACCACACACAAAAATAAAAGTGGTGATGGAGCAATTTTTCATCAGAATTGCTGAACTCATCAAAAAGGCCCACATGCGGGGTGCCCGTTGTTGACTGTGTACTCTGACGCTCTCACATTCACTCGTTCACTCATTCACTCATCCATTCAATCACTTTTGAGCTGTTCAAACGCACAACATGCATAAGAACGTCAACTTCGATTGCGATCAATACAAAGTTCTCGTTCTCTTTTTTTGAGTGTTTTTGTTGTGTTTGTTTTCGCTGAAAATGATGATTTGATGACTTTCGTCATGGTTCGTTATTTTTTTTTTTTTTTTTTTTTTTTTTGTGAGTTGTTTTTTTTATTTATTTCGATTAACTGACTGTGGCATTCCATTTTGTGAACAATCGTCCAACAACCTTCACAGCCGCCGTTTCTTCTAAAGTTCAACAAGAAGAACAAACGAAAGCATGTGCTTGGCTTGAAGAAAGCGTTGGCATCGAAAATCAAAGAAAAGCGAGAAGAAACGAAACGAAGGGAAAAAAAAAAAAAAAAAAAACACCAAAGAAGGACATTCAAACAATCATAGCCAAAAAAAAAAAAAAAAAATACAATGAAAAATGCGCAGTGAAACGTCACGAATCGCAGTGAGTTGATCGCAGTGAGGACGAACACAATCACCAAGGACTCGACCCGACAAGTGCAGACGCAACGTCGTTTGAGTGGACGGACGAACGGCGTGGTTCCAAAGAGCGACGGAAAACAAACACCAAGTGGAACGAATCGTAAAAAAAAAAACAAAAAAAAAAACAGACTTGTTCGATCGCCAACGTTAAACCCCTCCACCCGGCCCAAGCAGTGCAGCTGAGGAGGAAGCAGATCAAGGCAGCAAGTGGACACACGCTAGTCGACGCTCGTCCTGCGAGCTGCGCAACGAGACGTGCAACAGGATTCACAGACTGAATGAAAAAATGAAGGAAAAGAAAAAAAATTCGTTCAATGCAGATTGCAGACGCGTCTTTTTTTTTTTTTTTTCTTTTGAACTGACGTGAGCTCAACGCCATCGCCATCGATGTGGATGTGCACATTGGCGAGATGTCAAACCGTTCAAACGACAGAGAGACGCAGTGATGAAGCGTGGTCGAGAGAGCGAGAGTTGAGAAGGGGGGGAAAAAACAACAAGAATCGAAAAAGGAAGGAAAACTTCAATAAATAAATAAAAAAAATCCAACCCTACTCACAGAAACAAGAATGAGTCGACACAAAAGTCGAAATGGGAATCTGAGCAGCATGTCGCTCAGAGCAGGTTGCCAGATCTGTGGAATAGTGTATGAGCGAGTATGAGTGAGTTGGAGCGAGGATTCACCACGTTAAAGCGACCAATTGAAGAGAATTTCGCGTTGATCTTCATTTGAGCAAGCATGCAGCTGTCCTCTGCGGATAAAAACAAATGCAAAGTGTATGGTAGAGATCTAGTGAATGTGCAGAATAGCGTAAGAGTCAGTTGAAGCGAGGATTCACCACGTTAAAGCGGAAAATCGAAACCCGTTTCGCGTTGTTCTTCAATTCCGCAAGCATGCAGCTGTCCTCTGCGATACAGCCAAGTGCAGAATGCGTGATATAGCTCTGGTAAATGTTTAGACTAGTAATTGACTGAGTTTGGCGTGTCGTTCAGGGTGAATTGGAAAAAAACCGAATTTTTGAAAAAATTCGGTCGTTCCGAAATTCGGAAAATTTTTTCCACTGTGTCACGACCAACAATTTTTGGTCAACACGAGCAATCACCCTGACAATCACACCAATAATACATCAATTATTAAATATTATTCTTCCAAAGTACTATAACTGTTACTCAAGATACAGCAGAGATACAAGCACTTCAAAGTGCGACAACTCGATATTCAGTTCCGATGCCGACAGCTCGTCTCAAAATCCACCCTCGACACCAACCAAGAGCTAATAAACAATATTTCACATCATCCTTGTGTTGTAGACCGACATCGCGGTCGTCTCTATGAACGCAATCCCCGCCACAAGATGACCTTTTGTTTTTGACCATTTTCCATCACTTCTCCCTGTTTTTCTCCCCTCCTGTCGAGTCACCATGAACTCGTTCATTTCGTTTCTTCTCATCACCACATCATTCCACTGTTTCTCAGCACAATCCCAAAAACGATCGATTCACTCCTTTCAAATTTTCCCCAAACTTCAACACAATAATGGGTCGCGTTCAACAAATCAACCAAGACTCCGAGTTTGCTCCTGCCATCACCGGCGCTGGCTCCAAGCTGGTACGGCCGTCACACACTCTGCCTCTGTCTCTGTCTCTGCCTCTCTCTCTCTGTCTGTAGTGCTCCTTCTCAGCTGGAACGCACACTCGCTTCGTTCTTTTGCTCTGTTCGCGCAAACACAAAAGTTTCGAGATTTCCCTTTTTTTTTTTTTTTTTTTTTTTTTTTTTTCCGTTTTTGCTGTGTCTGCATGCATTCGTTCTCTGTCGCTCCTTCTTGTCTGCGCATTCGTCCAAACACTCACCCCATGTACTCTTACCTACTTTGGCACCTTCTCTGTCTTGTCTTTGATGCTGGTTCAGGTCGTCGTCGACTTTTTCGCAACCTGGTGCGGTCCTTGCGTTCGCATTGCTCCGTTCGTCGACTCGCTCTCGACCAAGTACCCCAACGCAGTCTTCCTCAAGGTCGACGTCGACAAGTGCAAGGTAACCAAAAACAAACAAAACAAAACAAAACAAAAAAAGGATGAAACTCACTGGACTCGGCGCTTTGAGGAACGCATCATTGACATGAAACTCTCTACTCTCTGGGCAGTCTGTCGCGCAAGCATGCGGAATCCGAGCCATGCCCACGTTCCAGTTCTTCAAGAACGGAGCCAAGATCGACGACATGACCGGCGCAGACCCCGCTGGGCTGGAGCGCAAGGTCCAGGCACACATTGGCTCGGGCGGCTCGAGCTTTGAGGGCGCTGGTCACGTTCTTGGCGGCGCCTCTTCGTCTGGCCAGGCTGGTGCGGCTGCTGCTACCAAGAGCCCTGTTCCTGGCTTTGTAAGTGGCAGTGGCGCTGGCGCAAACGCAGGCGGCAACGGGTCCCTCACATCGTCCATGGACCGACTCGTTCTCTTTCTTTTCATTGGGTTTGTTTTGTATTCTCTTCGGTCTTATGCCGCCTACGAGTGAAAAAACCCAAACACAGAACCATGCATGATTGAGAGCGAGTGTGCGAGTGAGGGAGAGCGCGTTTTTTATTTTTGGAAAGCATGTTCGTTCGTTGTTACTCATTAAACTGTTATTCTACCATCCCTTGTTTTTCTTTGGTGCGTTTCGCTTCTGTCTGCTTGTCTGCTAGTACTCTCTTGCTCCTGTCATTCCCACGAACGGAGTTCAAATCTTGAATGCCCTGGGCTCCGAATACCACGCCATCCTCGACGACAACGAGACAGCCATTGAGAGCGATGCCGATCAACAGCTCATCATTTCCCTCCGCTTCAACCAAGGAGTGAACGTGCACTCGCTCCAGTTCAAGGCTCCGGCGGACGGCCGTGCGCCCAAGACCATCCGGCTGTATGCGAATCGACTCGCAGCCCTGAGCTTTGACGACACTGACAGCGCCCCACCCAGGCGAGCAAAGAGCAGCTCGTCACCCTTCCGTTCAACAAGTTCCAGAACCTTGAAAACCTTTGGGTAAGGGCGACAAAAAGAGAGAGAGAAAAGTTTGAGGGAGAGATCGAATGCCCACACGCTAAGTTTGAGGGAGAGATCGAATGCCCACACGCTCATTTTGTTTCTGAAACAGATCTTCGTCAAGAGCAACTGAAGCTCATTGGCGCCACTGTGCGCGGGAGCGACTTGAGCAAGCTTGCAGAGGTAGAGTTTTTTTTTTTCGCGATTGTTCTAGTCTACATCGAGCTCACTCATGCCTGTTTGACTCGCGTTTTGTTTCATGCAGACGGATCATGACCACAAGCATTAAAGTGCAATTGATGCTGCTGATCTGCACTTGTTTCCCCTTCCACGCACCTGCTTGTGCCTGTTTGTCTTGCAATGAAGCAGTTTTGAGGGTTGAATCGCATTGGACCAACTGCACATAAATCTTTCAAAGCAAGTCGAATTCGCAAAAACAAGACTTTAATCAATCCGTCACCAAAAAAAACACACACACACACAAAAACACGCACATAAACAACCAAAAACACAACCAAACCAACAACAAAATCACATCCCATCACCGGTCCATCATCACCGGGCAGACACTTGCTTCTGCTGACGGGCGGCTTGGATGAACCGCGCAACATCCCACTGCTCGCACGGCACGCTGAGCGGGCCGTTGTAAACACAGAGAACTTGGACCTTCTCGTTGTAGTCGAGGTTGGGAAGGAGCTTGGGCGTCACGTAGAAGCACTGCGCCGTGTTTGGCGCGGAGGCCCCATGCACGACCTGGCGGAAGATGCGACGCTCGTTTGTCGGGTCCATGCCCTGGTTGATCTCGTCGACAATGCGGAAGGGACACTTGGTCAGCTGTTGCAGCGACAGGAGGTAAATCATCGTGGACACGGTGCGTTCACCACCGCTCTGATGGTTGGCCGTCAGGCGCATCAAACTCTCGCTCTGTCGGAACTTGACGCTAATCTCGATCGCATACTTGCTGTAATCCGCGTCCGTGCGCAACGTAACTTCACCAGAGTAGCCGAGCAGCTGGAAGCCGTTGCCAAACGCAACGTTGATCTTTTGCACCTTCTCTTGCAGCGGCGTGAGCCAGTCATCCTTGAGCTTGTTCTCGTTCTTCTCAAAGTCCTGGACATCCGCGCGCAGCTTGTCAACCTTTTGCTGCAAATCGAGAATACGATCAGAGCGCTGCTTGTACTGCTCCACAACACCCGGATCGTTACTCAGATTGGAATCGACAAGCGCCTGGTAATGGTGCAGCAGCGCATCCAGCTCCTCCAGCGTGGCAGGGAAGAGGGGAAACTTTTGCTGCAGCTCCTCAGTGATGGGATTGACCTTGGCGAGGTCGAGCAAAGCGGAAGCGCGGGTCTTGGCCTCGTTCACCGCACGTTGAAGGGCCTCGACTTCGTTGCGGGCCGCAGTCAGCGTTTCGCTCTGCTGCCGCTCCATGCCTTCGTGAACCTCCAAGTCGGCTTGAATCTGGGCAGTCCGCAGAGAGGCCATGGCACGACGCATGACATTATCCATAATGGTTTCGCTCTCACGCTGCAGCCCGATCGCTGCAGCTGCACGGCGCGAGTTGTGACGTTGAACGGCAGCGTGCGCCTCGTTGGCTTCGCGTTCCGCTTCCTGGGCTGATCTGCGAGCAGCGGCAAGGCGGGCCTTGCGCGTGTCAATGGTGTTTTGAAGCGTCTTTCGAGCGTTGCGTTGCTGCTGGAGCTTGGCACGCTCGGCGATGCAACTCGACTCTTCCTCGGCCATCGCGCGTTCCTTCTCGACCAATCCCCTGAGCTCCTTGTCCAGCGAGGCGTGACTCGCGGTCGCCTCGGCAAGTTCGCTCGCGAGACGATCTTGCTCGCCCGAACTCGCCTGGTTGCTCAGATACCGGGCGGGCGGATGGTTGGTGATCTTGGTGGTGGTGGATTGATCGCCATACTTTGACGTGTGAATTTGGTACTTGCGCTGCGCCGTGACAAAATTCCGCAAGCCGGCCTTCTCGACCACCAGCTGGCGATGCTGCTCAACGCGGTTGTCACCGAACGGAATATCATGGAAATTGCTCGTGTCGCACAAGCGCTTCTTGATCAGGTCGGGAGCGTCGAACAAGTTGAGGAGGAAATCGACAAAGCCAAAGGCCTTGAGCGGCTTTGAGTTCTCGTCATTCATGTTGGCTCGATACGCTGTCAGGGGCTTGGGATCCGGCGAGCAGGCGTTGACGAGAAGACGCTGGCCCCGCATTTCTTGCAGAAAGAGATTCATGTCATCTCGTCGCTCAAACACGAACGAGGTCAGGTCGGACTTGCGGATGCAGCTCTCCAGCATATCAACATGCTCGGGGTTGCGAACCGTCAGAGAGAGCATCATGGGTTCCGCGACTTCGCCTGAAAACTTGGCGCGGTTCTTGTCGAGCCATTCCAGCGCTCGGCAGGTTTCAGGTTCCAGCTGGCGAAGCTTTTCAAGACGACGCGCGCGCACGCTGTTCATGGTCTGGAGGCGACCTTGAAGCGTCTTGATTTGCCGCTCCAGCTCGTAGCTTTCCTGCTGCGTACCAGCACGCTGCGACTTGAGTCCCGCCAACTTTTCACGAATGTCTGCAAACTTGATGCTGAGTTTTTCAAGCTTTGGCGTCACATCCACATCATCGCGGATGTCGGCGAGTTGCTGCTCCAAGCCAGCAATCTGGTCACAATCCAAAACAATTGGAAATGAGAGAGAGAGAGAGAGAGAGAGAGAGAGAGAGAGAGAGAGAGAGAGAGAGAGAGAGAGAGAGAGAGAGAGAGAGAGAGAGAGAGAGAGAGAGAGAGAGAAAAAAAAAAGGTAAGTACATGAAATAAAACAGATGAGCGTCCAATCGACACACAACTCGGCTTCTACCCCTGCACTCACTTCTCGTTGGAGAACAACCGCCACCTGTTGGTGCTGCTCCTGCGAAGAACGCTGCGACTTGAATCGGCTGGCAGCAGCATCCAATTTGTCAAACTCAGTGTCCATGGTTTCGCCTTTGGCGCGGATCTTCTTTTCGAGCTCAGTCGACTCCAGTGTGAGCGCGCGTCGGGCGCTGTCGTGCGAGGCGAGCTCTCCCTTGAGGGCTGTGATTTTGGCACGAACGGGATTGAGGGCGGTGTCGAGCTTGCGCAGCTCTTCTTTGGCAGCAGTCAGCTGCTCCTTGTTCTGAATAAAGACTGAGCGGGCAGCTTCGTACTCGACCCATGGGCGCTTCTTTTGGATGAGCTCAATCTGGGTGCGGTACTGCTCTCGGTCCTCGTACTGCCGAACTTGCTGTTCAAGCTCTGCATTCTTCCTCTGCAGCAGCAGGTGCTCCTTGGAGTTCTCCTCCAGGCGCTTCTCAATGTCTTGACGGTCCTTGAACAGCTTGCACAGCTCCATGTGCTGGTTGTACAGCGTCTCATTGTCGCTCACGTCACGCTCGGTGGTCAGCAACAGCTCCTCCGGCGACAGCTTGGCAAACTCGACGACGCGATCCTGCGGCAAGAACTGCGTGCGGTTGTTAAAGTCAATGTTGAGCTTGCCAACCAGCTCGCGAATTTCCTTGTGCGTAACGCTCTTGTTGTTGAGGAAGAATTGGCTCTCGGGGCTGGGGCTGAGCGCGATAATCCGACGGATGATCCAGTTGTTGCCGTCTGGGTTGAACAGCTCGACTTCAAGCGTGGCCGACTTGACCCCGTCGTGGCGCCGAATGTACTGCCTGACGGATTCCTGTCGGCCCAGCAGCTTGACGTCCGCACCCAGCCCAATGGCAATGGCGCAGATGATGGTCGACTTGCCCGTTCCGTTGGGCCCAATGACAACGTTCAGGTGGGGACCCGGGAAGACCTCGCACCTCGAGTACGTGACAAAGTCAATCATGTTGACGCGCACAATCGATCCCGTCATGTAGACGTCCTCGCTTTGTCGCTTCAGCTGCTGCTTCAGGACGCTCTGTGCGGCAGCATTGCGCTTGTGTGCCATGGCATTGGACTCGTCGTTCTCGCCGTCGCTGTCGTCGCGGCTCGCCTGGTGGCGCTTGGACGAGTGGTTGTCTGATGAGTTGGGGGATTGAGCATGATGTGGGGGGGTGTGATGGGAAAGGAGAGGGAATAGAGGGAAGGGATGAGTGAGCAACAATGGGGTGAAACAGCACGCATCCCAGAGCTCCCCATGCACTGGCGCTGCAGACGCATGACAAGCAGTGTCGAGATGTGAAGGTTGCAAAAACAGCGCGATGGAGAGCGGGGAAGGCGAGCGGAGAAGAGCAGCAAACAACGCAAAGCGAGCAGAGATTTGGAAAAAGGGCGGGAAGAAGAAGAAGAAAAAAAAAAAAAGGCGGGAAACCAAATGAACGCACCTTCACCGTCCGGCGCTGGTCTGCGAGACATTGAATGAGCAGGGGGTGAATTATGGACTGATGACTTTGGTGAGGTGAGATTGTACCAAAATGGAAGCCATGCAGTAATGCATCGAGATGAAAGGAGTTTTCGTATTGAAAATCCAATGCAAAACCAAGACGCGGTCGATCGCTCAATAGCACAAGCAGTGATAGCACTGAAAGCCACAACGTACAGTATGTTTTCACCGAATGTTTCGCAATCATAGCAAAGTCCGCGCTCACACACACAGTTGATCCCAAATGATCATGATTGGACTCTGCCGGTTGATTTCAATCTGATAACGCAACCTCCGACGTTTCTCGCCTTTCACGAGTCCGCACCTCATTTCAGAGACATGACCAAATTCTCGCTCGCTCTGTTTTCCCCCAAGGCACCTCCACATGCGGTGACTGGGAATTCCCACCGAATTGCGCCGCCATGCGAATGGATTTCTTCCGCACTTTCGACTCGTCGTCGTCGTCGTCGTCGTGCTCGTTTTTGTTGGCTTGCATTTTTGATTCCTCCGCTTGACCTAAAAGCGCCGCATTTTTTGTGTTTTTATTCATCTTGTTGTTCATCTTGTTGTTCATGATGCAACCACTCGAAGCAGGATTTCCCCGAACGTGCGGCTGTCGTGATTGCCTCAGTCTCGCTTTTTCCTTCTCTTTTTCCTTCTATTCTTTCATTCAGTCATGGCAGCAGATCGAAGCGACTCGAGCGTGGCCATTCTGGTGACAGACATGGACTCTGACCCACAGCTCTCCTTCAACGACAATGCAGCAGCAGCAGCAATGCTCCGCGTGCAACAGGAGCGCGCGAACGGCGCTGACGAGTTCCGCCGGTCGTTTGAGCTGGCCACACGCCCCACGCCAGGCGAGGAGCTGGTCATCCCGTTCCAACCGGACGACGACGACGACGACGACGACGAGGAGGAGGACGACAGCGAAGCCAACAAACCTGCCAATGCTGCCGGCAGTGGCAATGGAGCCGCCACAAACCACCTGCAGCTCGGGTGAGTGAGCAAGCGAAGAGCAAGCGGAAGATTTACTCCCGCTTCTTTAAATCTCCGTTTGAAAATGAGTGATCGTGTTGACTGGTGAAATGGCCCAGTGAACATGCATATGGCAGGCGGATGGATTGTCAAGAGACAGAGTGAGAGCAAGAGCAGGTGGGAGAGGGGGAGGCGGTTGGGCACTCGATGGTCGCTGAATTGTCACGCGGCCGCTCAGTCCGCTGTTGCGTAACTCTACGTCCAACATGTCAACTTTCCCACTGCTTTTTCGCTTGTCGGGGAAAAACCTTGAAAGTGGCAAAATGACCAACGAAGCGATATGGCACACAATGCTTGCGGGATGTCACACGATCAGCGTCACTCCGAGCCGGCGACTCGGCTTCGACCTTGCCAAGAATAGCTCAGATTTCGACCCTCGAACCAACAGACACATGCACTGGAATTGTTCCCCCCATGCATGAGAACAAACAATCACACTCCCATGCGGAAATTTCAAAGCAGGGGGAAACAGCCAACTGCGATCCTATGTTTGGATTCATCCCAACTCACCTTGTGCTGCACACTTTGAAACAATCTACAGACACCTGGGCGTCCGTGAGGAGATTCGCAAGTCGTCAGCCAACCCTTTTGCGCTGTCATGGAACCGCTTGACATACTCTGTCACTGAAGTGCGCAAGAAGGAAAAGATTGTCAAGGAAATTCTCAAGGAGCAAACTGGCGCTGTGATGCCTGGCCAGATGATTGCCATCATGGGTCAGTACAGCGAAAAAATGAAGCACACCCCCCCCCCAAAAAAAGCCCCCAAACGACAGCAAGCGGTTTGCCTAACTTTTGCGTTTGCACAGGTACTTCCGGTGCTGGCAAAACGACCCTGCTCAACGTACTCGCGGGTCGCAACATCACCGGACAGATTGGCGGCTTCATTGCCCTCAACGGACATGCGCGCAACAAGAGCTTCCGTCGCCAAAGTGCCTATGTCGAGCAGGACGATCTCATGTTCCCCAACCTGACGACCAAGGAGACGATTACCTTTGCAGCGCTCTTGCGTATGCCCTCCAAGTACACCACCCAGGACAAGATCCAACGCGCCATGGACTTGATTCGCCAGCTCGGTTTGTCGCAATGCGTCAACACGCGCATCGGTGGTCCCGAGCGCAAGGGCGTCTCTGGCGGCGAGCGCAAGCGCATTGCCATCGCCGTCGAACTCATTACCAATCCCAAGCTGCTCTTCCTCGGTACGGTGGAGTCGCTGTTTTGTGACTCGGATGACGGAGGTGTTGTTTTGAAAAGGCTTGCTCACTTTGTGAAAAAATTGTTGTCCCCTCTGTCACAACAGACGAGCCAACGAGTGGTCTCGACGCCTTCACTGCCTTCCACGTCATGGAGACGGTGCGCGCAGTCGCGAAGGGAGGCCGAGCAGTCGTGTGCACCATCCACCAGCCTCGGTACAACATTTACGCCCTCTTTGACAAGCTGCTGCTGCTGTCGCAAGGCGCGCCCGTCTTTTACGGACCGGCCTTGGACGCTGTTTCGTACTTTAGCAAGCTGGGCTACGAGTGCCCGCCCTTGACCAACTGCTCGGACTTTTTCCTCGACATTGTCACTGTCGACACGCGCAACACGGAGGCCGAAGAGGCGAGCCGCGAGCGTGTGGCCTTCTTCCACCAACAGTACGCAAAGTCGAACCTCGCGATCGAGGCCACAGCGGAGGTTGACAAGCTTCTTGGTGGCTCCAAGTCCCATCGAGTGGATGCGGTCGAAGAGAGCCACAAGCACACTCAGTGGAATCTTCCTTGGCTGATGGAGTTCTTTGTGCTCTACCGACGTGCCACAATGAACTTTCTGCGCGAGAAGCGTGTCACGATTGCTGCACTTGTCCAGTCCCTGATCATGGCGTTCCTTGGTGGCTTTGTGTTCTTCCAAATGGGCCATGACCAGAATGCCATTCAAAACCGTCAAGGCGCGCTCTTCTTTGTCTTGATCAACCGTAAGGTTTTTTCTCCCTACCCATCAGTGCATGCTTTTTTCTGTTTTTCTGCTTCTGGCAGTTCTTTTTTTTGGTTTCAGACCAGTGCCGACTCACATTGTTTTTTGCTTGATTTTTGGATTTTTGGACTGTTGACAGAGGCGTTTGGTGGCATGCTGGGTGTCGTCATGATGTTCCAATCGGAAAAGAGTGTCTTTCTCCGCGAGCGCTCCAGCGGCGCGTATCGCGTGAGTGCGTACTTCTTGGCAAAGTCTTTGGCTGAACTCCCCGTCCAGATGGCCATTCCAGTCATCTACGCGACAATCATCTACTGGTTGATGGGCTTGAACTCGAGTGCTGCAGCCTTCTTTACGTTCGTCGCGAACGTCGTGGCTGTCATCATCTGTGCGCAATCGCTCGGTCTGGTCGTTTCTGCTGCCGCTCCCAGTCTCGCCGTTGCAAACGCCATCGCGCCCATCATTACGATTGCCTTCCTGCTCTTCAGCGGCTTGTACATCAATTTGGATGACCTTTGGGCTGGATTTACGTACACGTTCCAGAAGGTGCGTGACCTGGGTGGATGAATTTGCTTTATGATGAAACGGAGGTTTGCTTTTTTTGTTGTTGGCTGACTCGCTTGTGCTTCTTCTTCTTCTACTACTTCTGCTTCTCCTTCTTCTGCCATTAGTTGAGTTTCCTCTACTGGGGCTATCAATCGCTGCTGCTGAACGAATTCACCGACTCGACCTTCACTTGCAACCCGAATATCTCGTATCGATGCCTCGACACTGGCGACAAGATTCTCACTACACTCGGTGTTGGATCGACCTCAGTCTGGGAGAACTTTGGCATCTTGATCTTGCTCACCGTTGTCTATCGCTTCTTTGCCTACCTCGCACTCCGCTTCCTGAAGAAGCCCAAGTTAAAGCTGGCATAAGCGAGAGTTGTGATGTTTTAGATGCAAAGCTTGTGTTCTGTTTTTGTTTGTTTCATTAGTTTTGTTTGAGTCTCATTAAAAAATGAGAAGAAGAAAAAGAAGAAGAAAATGGTACACGAAAACACACAATTCAAATAATGGATGAAAGCGAAACGAAACGACGACGACGACGACAACAATAACAACAACAACAACCGGCGAACAACCACCATGTTCACAACACAGGCACAATAAAACCGGCTATGCACGATCCACCATGCTTTGGAAGGCTTCTCGGAGCATTCCGGCCGTCGGGCGATGGTCGGGATTCGCCAGCCAACAACTTTGCAAAAGTCCGTATCTGCAAACAAAAGCAAACCATTGAATTACTGAACAACTGAAACACGACTCACACCTCCCACACCAAAGCACTTACGCGTCGTCCTTGCAATGCGCTGGCCGTTCCAACCGTTGGCCTGAAGTGAGCACAGATTTCATGTCTTGAGGGGCAACGGTGGGCCAAGGAGCTTCGGCGTAACCGAAAATCTCCCAGATGCAGACACCCATTTGCCAAACGTCCGAGCGAATGTCGAAAATCATATCACGAAGCGTTTCCAGAGCCAAGAACTTGACGGGGAGCGCTCTACACGAGGCAAGTTTAGCGGTGAGCCACAGGGGATGAAAAGGGCGAAAACAAAATCAAGATAGACTAAGCGAAAAAAAAAAAAAAAAAAAACCCCAACGTTCCTCAATCAGTCACATCACAATGAACAACAATACCTCTTATGTGCTCGGCGGTAGTAATCCGAGTCGATCAGCTCGCGGGACAAGCCGAAATCGGCAATCTTGACACAGAGCATGCTATCGACGAGCAGATTACGTGCGGCGATATCACGGTGAATGAATCGAAGTGCATGTAGATACTCGAGACCGGTGCACGCTTGCGCAACAAACTGCAACAAGTGTTTGTCTGTCAAATCCATTCGCTGTGTCGTGGAAACACGAACATGCCAACATATAAAAATGAGACAAAGGCCAGTTATTTTCTGTTTGTTGCTGGCAAGACAGAAACTTGCATTACCCGTGTTGATAACTCTGGACGGGAAGCGCGCAAAAGGGTCTTGAGATCACCTTCGGCCATAAACTCGAGAACCAGCATTTGTGGGACTGCGCTCGTGCACACAGCGACCAGTCGGAGCACGTTGGGATGGGCGAACGGCTTCATGACCAGCGCCTCGCCAATAAAGTCGCGCAATGTATCCACGTTGTGTGTGGGGTCTGCCAAAGTTGAAGAAACGACACAATACGAAAAATCAGCAATCCAACCAGAAGAAGTGTTTTCAGCGACGCGTCGCTCCATTCGTGGTGGAAACCATGTCACAATCGCGCACCTTTAAGAATCTTGACAGCCACTGCTTGCCCGGCATGCTGACCGAGGAACACTTGGCCGAAATGTCCTTCGCCCAGCATGCGTTTTTCGTTCACCGTAACGTCTCCAGGCAAAACCTCAAGGTCGGCAAGGGGAGTCACGTCAATCGCAGCAGCTACTCGCGAAAGTCACAACACAGCCAAGACAGGCCAAAGAAAAAACACAAAACCGGACAAATGTGAGAAATTTCATACGCCATGCTTGCTGCGCTGCGACCATAGATAGTACTCGTACCATTCTCGACGTCAATCTCATAGTACTTGCCATCTGCTCCGGCAAAGTAGGCATTGGACGCCGGGTAACCGGAGAGTTCGAAGGCGGATGCTGAAACGTTGGACACGTTTGACATGTTGGAGATTGTCGAGCCGCGTCCGTTTTGACTGGGAAGAGACAGATTATGCTTGTTGCGCTCGTTACGACGGCGGACGAGAACCAGGATGACGATAAAGGCAATCAGCAGAGCTCCGCCGGCTGCACCAACACCGATGCCAATGGCCGCAGACGACGATGCGCCACCGCCATTGTTGTTATTGAGAGTAGGTCCACCGGTGCCGGGAACTGGTGTGGCAGAGGAGATTTGGAGGACGGATGAGACAGACGCGATCGAAGAAAGGCTGGCCCGAATCACAGAGCTCACGCTAGCGGCTGTGGTTGCAGCAAAAACACAGAAAAACAAAACAAAAAAAAAAAATCAGCCAAGGAACAGTCGAGCACCTCCAGAAAGTGCACACTGCAGAAAGTCATTACCGCAAGCAGAGTTGAGCATGTTGTTGGCGAATGACGCGTAGGAGCCTGGAGTCATGATTGTGCTCCAAGAGACTGTCGTGGGCGCATAGCAAAGCAAGTCGTTTCCACGCACTTCGACATCTCCCGAAATGAACTGGAGATGAGAAAGCTCAGACAGCGACTTGATTATGGGGTTGTCCGAAATCGCCAAAGCAAACGTAGTGGTCGAGTTGAGGGGTGTGCTGTAACGCACAGTGCCGTTAATATTCCTCAACGAGGTCAGCGACAATTGCTGAAGAACAGCGTTGCTGGTGATGATCACAGCGCCAGAAACCTCCTCAACATGTTGGAGGCCATTCAACGACTGCAGCGCGTCACAGTTATCTATTTGGATGCAAGTGAGGTTGTGACGGAAATTCCAGCTGGTGACGGATGCTAAAATCTCGATGGACACCAGGTTGTTGTTGGTCGAAAAGAGAATGCAGCCAGCTTCAATCTACCAGTCGCCAAATAGGCCGAAGCTCACACAAGTCAACGCAATGGCATTCACCATACAACAGATTGCCTGATAAACCTGTTCCTCACCGCGTTCAAACTGGTCAGGGGTGCCAGCGTGGTCAGGGTTGACCCGACCATTCGCAACGTACTACCAAAGATTGTTTCTCGGCCAGTGATGCGCTGCAGGTTTCCCAGAGGTGAAATGTCGGCCAGAGTTGGGCAATTGTTGAAAGCCAGAGCGCCGTCAATCTCGACAATGCTCGATAGTGGCGAAATGTCTTGCAGCGTGCAGACATCCGCAAAGATACCTCCAAGAGCGATTGAGCCATTGATGTGCGTGCATCCGCTGAGAGCCTGTGCATCTGCGTTGGACTTGATGGTGAACAATGAGATTCCGAATGTCACTGTTGGCGGAGTGCAGACTACAAGTACCAAGACAAAAACAGGTCAGTGAGAGCATTTTCATTTCCATCAAAGTGTTCATTTTTTGCAGACCGTTCAGTCAAGCTGGAAAATCAGAAAATGCCCAAAACAAGCAATTTTGCCGGTTTTTCCCCCTCCTCCTCGTGATGAAGATGACGTTCTCGTCCAGCTTTGCCTACCCGCTGTTGCTGATTTGATCGACTTCTGACAGTGCTGCTTTTGCTTTCCCCATGTATCGCTTATGTATCTCGCTTTGGTTTGTGCAATGAAAGCCGGTTTTGTTTATATTGTTTTGTTGTTGTTGTGGTTTTTTTTTTCTTCTTCTTTTTTTTTCGTCTCGTTCTCATGACGCTGTTCTTCAGTGGCGCGCACAATGCAACAACGTCTGATCTCTCTCTCTTTTTGACATTCGTGCCTTCTATGCTCACGACGTTGTATGCGATTGGGTCTGCTTTGTAGTTTCCCTTTCAAGGATGCATGTCTGCGTCCCTCTCGTTGTCTCTCTGTCTCATGCTTTGGGGTCGCTGGGATTCGGTTTGCGGGCCATTCTCTGCTGCTCGCTCCATTGCCATTCGCTCCAGCCCTGCCCTGCACACCCCTCGCTTCCACACCCTTCCCTTCCCCCCCTTCTTCCTAATCAAGGCCTCAGTTGTCTCTCTCTCCACCACGCTTCACCTTCCCCCCCCCACCCCCAATCTCCCGCGCTCCTTTCTCATCATATTCGCCCTCTTGCTTTGCTTTTTTGATCTTGCGTGACTCCAAACCAACCAAACATCCCCTCCCAAGCAACACAGCACGACGCTCATCTCGCTCATCTCTTTCTCTCGGCGTAATGAAGGTGGTGGGTAAGGGGGGGGGAGATGGGAAGGACACAACAACAGCGGCAGCCACACGGGGCAGTTGAGCGGTAGAACACTGCCGTAGAACACAAACTCACCAAGAACACTGTCGCCGGCTGCAATGAGGCTGCAGAGCACCACCAACGACGACAATGTCGCCAAAGTAGTAGTAGTAGCAGCAGCATGACGGGCAGCATGACCAGACGCTGATCGCGCTCGCATTGCACGCGGCTGGATCATTGCGGCTTTGTTCTCTTTGTTAGGTGAAGAGTGAGCCTTCTTTTAGTCTCAGAGTCTCAGATCAGAGTCTTAGTGTATCAATCTATCAGAGTATCGGTGCATTAGATCTGGAGGAGGTCAAACGCATCATGCTTGATCGATTGAGCAATGATGAAACCAAAGAACAACCCAAAACAACAACGGGGACGACCAGTGTCTCAGTGTCTCAGTGTATTCGTCTACCAGAGGTCAAATGCGTAATGATTGATGCTTGACTGATAATAAAACCAAAAGCGCAACAACAAGAACAGCCGCTTCAGTCTTTCAATCAACCAAAATCTTCCAATTGTTCAATCATGGGTTGGCTGTTTGACGCAATGTGAGCCCTCGACTCTGTGCTGAGCTGACAATTGTATTTGAATCTATATCTGTTGTGATGAACGAGTATTGACAAGTATTGAATGTGTGTCGTTGTTGTTGCATGGACCGTCCATCGTCGTCGCGCAGGTACGCGTTCTACACGTCGTCCGCGGGCTACTACTACCACCGCTACCAGCTGCGCAAGGCGGCCAAAACTGGCGGTCCGATCATCGACCCGTTCGAGTATCCAATCCCAGGCGGACTGCACACGGTGCTCGTTGTGCCCAACAGGAAGGACAACTACACGTATGTCGTTCTGAACAACCAGACGCGAGATGCGGTGGTCGTCGACCCGGCAGACCCGGCGTCCATTCTGCCAGCCATCGAAAAGGCCAATGTCAAGGTGCTTGCAGTCCTCACAACTCACAAGGTACACCAAATCTGCAATGGCAATGCGGCGCTTGTCGGCTGTCGACGCATTGTTCCGCAGGCGAATTTGTGTGTGTGCTACCGCACGTTTTTGTCTGTTTTTTGTCTGTTTTTGTCTGTTTTTGTCTGTTTTTGTCTGTTTTTGTCTGTTTTTGTCTGTTTTTGTCTGATTTTGTCTGATTTTTGTCTGATTTTGGTTTTTTTGTGGTTCTGTTGCAGCATCACGACCACTCTGCTGGCAACTGGGACATGGCACAGCACTTCCCAGGCGTTGCCATTGTTGGCTCACCGACGGACAACATTCCGTCCCTGACCCACCCCGTGTCGCACGGCGATGTTTTGACCATTTCCAGTGCGGGCGTGCACGTCGGAGCGCACGAAGCATCTGTCACTCCGCCAGCGCTCGTCATTCATTGCATCTCAACGCCAGGACATACTCCTGGCCACATCGTCTATCATTTGCAACCAGCAGCGCCTGAACACCCCGGATCCATCTTTTCCGGCGACTGCCTCTTTGTTGGCGGCTCTGGCCAGATGTTCGAGGGCACCCCCGCTGACATGTACCTGGCCATGGAGCGCCTGCGAGAGTTGAGTGGCTCGACGCTTGTTTGGCCTGGTCACGAGTATGCGAGCCCCAATCTTGACTTTGTCGCCGTTTTGGAGCCCAGCAACGCACAAGCTGTGGTAAGAATGGCAGTGAACAACTGGTTTGCAGCTACTTTCACATTCTGAACCCCTTCTCACCAATACTCTGATACACTCTTGGCCAAACTCAGGAGGGAGCCGTCAAAGCAAAGGAGCGGCTCGCTCGGCGCGAAGGCTCCATCCCGTCAACCATCACTGATGAGTTGGCTTGGAACCCGTACTTTCGCGTGCATGCCGGCACATTTGACGCTCTGGTACTGGTACCAGGCCAGCCTGAAGCGATCCGCCAACACCGCGTGGCTGTCCTGGCAGAGATTCGTCGACAGAAAAATGTGTTTTCGCCAGGACTGACTGGAGGAAACTAGAGCATGCGCAATGATGTTCGACTGCAGTTGGTTGAAGCGATAAACGGGAGAATAAAAAATGCATTGAAAATAACATGGAATTCAGAAAAAACAAAAAAAGGAAAAAGCAAAAAATCGATCATTTACATCTGCACATTCGTAAAACCGCGGGATGAGGCCACAGTTTTATTCCTTGGGTTGCCACTTGGAGAAAAAGTCGTTGCCCTTGTCATCGACAACGATGAACGCTGGGAACTTTTCGACCTCAATCTTCCAGACGGCTTCCATGCCCAGCTCGGGATACTCGAGCACCTCAACCTTCTTGATGCAGTTTTGCGCAAGAATGGCAGCAGGGCCGCCGATGGAGCCCAAGTAGAAGCCGCCGTGGGTCTTGCAAGCGGTGGTGACGCCCTTGCTGCGGTTGCCCTTTGCGAGCGTAATCATGCTTCCGCCGAGCTTCATAAAGTTATCGACATACGAGTCCATGCGACCTAATGGGAAGAAGATAGGGGGTAAAGTAAAGTCAGTTACAAATCAACAGAGGAGAAAGAAACAGCAAAGCGGGAAACAAAAAAAGGGGAGAGAAAAGAACAGTCAAGTCTCGGATGGTAGTGCATGTTGATATTTCACGGCATCTTTCATGCTCATAATAAAAATATCTTGGATAAAATTTCGTCACAGAAAGACTGTTCTTTGCGGAGAAAAAAAGAAAAAAGAAAAAAAAGAAAAAGAAAAGAAAGAAAAGACGGGAGAAAACCAAACCAAAAAAAGTAAACTTACCGGCAGTAGTTGGGCCAAAGGAACCAGAGGCATAACCAGTGGGTGTCTTGGCGGGACCAGCGTAGTAGATAATGTGATCGCGAATGTACTGCGGGATGCCCTGACCGGCTTCAATGCGCTCTTGGATCTTGGCGTGAGCAATGTCGCGGGCAACCACAAGCGTGCCAGTCAGCTCGAGACGGGTGCGGATGGGGAACTTGGACAGGGTGGCACGGATTTGGTCCATGGGTTGGTTGAGATCCACCTGGACGACTTGACCGCCGAGCGACTCTTCCGTGATTTCAGGCAGGTACTTGCTGGGGTCGGTTTCGAGCTTCTCGAGGAAGACACCATCCTTGGTGATTTTGCCGAGCGCTTGACGATCGGCAGAGCAGGACACGCCCACACCGACCGGGCACGAAGCGCCGTGGCGGGGCAAGCGAATGATGCGCACGTCGTGGGCAAAGTACTTGCCGCCAAACTGTGCGCCGATACCAGTCTTTTGGCAAAGTGCGTGCACCTCCTGCTCGAGGGCGACGTCACGGAAGGCATGGCCGAGCTCGTTGCCGGACGTGGGCAGGTTGTCGAGGTAGCGCGCGCTTGCGAGCTTGACAGTCTTGAGCGTCTGTTCTGCGGACAGACCGCCAATGACGATGGCAAGGTGGTACGGCGGGCAGGCCGACGTGCCGATCGACTGGATCTTTTGATCGAGGAAGGCGACGAGCGACTTTGGGTTGAGCAGCGCCTTGGTCTGTTGGTAGAGGTACGTCTTGTTGGCAGAGCCGCCACCCTTGGCCATAAACAAGAACTTGTACTCGTCACCCTCGGTGGCGAAGAGATCAATCTGGGCGGGGAGGTTGCAGCCAGTGTTGACCTCCTTGTACATGTCGAGGGGAGCGACTTGCGAGTAACGCAGGTTGCGCTTGACGTAGGCTTCAAACACGCCGCGCGAGATGGCTTCCTCGTCAGCACCCTCAGTCCAGACGTACTGGCCCTTCTTGCCCATGACAATGGCCGTGCCCGTGTCTTGGCAGCCAGGCAGAATCATGCCAGCGGCAATGTTGGCATTCTTGAGCAGCTGCAGAGCAACAAAGCGGTCGTTGTCCGACGCCTCGGGGTCTTTGAGGATGTTGGAGAGCTGCTGGAGGTGGCTTGGTCGCAGCAGGTGTGCAATATCAATCATTGCCTGCTGGGTCAGGGTGGAGAGGGCTTCGGGAGCGACCTGCAGCACCTTGCGTCCCGCAGCCTCGACGACCTTGACGGCACCCTCGCCGACGGGCAGCTTGCGGTACTCTGTGGTCTTGTCCTTTCCAGCGGGGAAGAGGTCTTGGTAGCGGAAGAGCGGCGCGGCCTTCTTTACAGCCTGAGCAGCAGCCGGAGCAGCGGCCGTCGAGTGCGATCGGAGCGCTGTTTGCAGAGGGGAAAAAGTGAACATGCATCGAGGGACGACGCTGAGGTGAGCGAAAGGATGGTGCGAGACGAACGAGACGAAGGAAGGAAGGAAAGAACTGAAAAGAGGGGATCAGGAGCGACGAATGCAGCTACGATCGACTGATGCGATCAAAGCAAGAGACAAAGCCAGACAGAGAGAAAGACAAGAGAGAAAGACAAGAGCGAAGGTGCTGCGGTGCTGGAAGCAAGATTGAATGAGATTGAAAAAAAAGAAAAAAAAAAAAACCACGAGGTCGATTTTGATGAACGATCTCTTGTTTTTCAACCGCATGGAAGACACAGCGAGCGAGCGATCAGAGATCAGAGACCAGAGACCAGAGATGGAGAGAGAGAGAGAGAGATGGAGATCAGAAGAGATGGATGGGTGGATGGGTTACCAGAGCGCGCGGCGACGCGGGACGACGCAGCGAGAAGAGCGACCGAACGAGAAAGCATGGATGGATAGGAAAAAAAAAAAAAAAAAGGGAAAGAGAACGAGAGTGAGAGAACGAGAGTGAGTGAGAAAGGACGACTGAACATGCATTGAAACTCAGAACAACAATTATGGAAAAATGGAACAAAAAGTCAATGGATTGGATGGAACAAGCACAAAGATGCTTCAGCTGCAATTCAAAGTTGAATCAAGTCAGGTCTCACCTCTCTCTCTCTTTCTCTCTCTCTCTCTCTCTTGTTAAAGTAGATCTATACAAAACTGAAAGGGGGGCGGTTGATTCGAAGTGCTGCTGCATTGAGGGCACAACTCCGTGATTTTCAATTTCACTCCAAACTCACTCGTCATTCACTCTAAACTCGGCCAAACTCGACACACTTCAGTCTCCTTTTTATTTTTTCACTTGTACTCTTTACTTTCCAGTATTCTTGCTTTCTTTGAAAACGCCGTCGCTGCTTCTGATCGCGCATTCAACACGGAGGTTTGCGCAATCTGCCATTCGCACTCTGGCCAACAGCACGCTTCCACCCACTCTCCCACCTTCATTCAAACCCTACAGCATCACCACCACCACAACCACAACTAACAGCAGCAGAATGTCGACCAGCACCGCAGCAGCAGCATCGGCAGTCCTCGCCGTCCAAGCACTCAGCATGCCGTGGGCGACCCTCGACCCGTTCCTCTTCTGCGTCCACCACGACGACAAGTACCCTGCTGGGAACGCCTCGTTTGGCTTCGACCCTGCCGCACTGCGCGGGCGCAACATTGGCTCAGACTTTAGCGGACGCGACGGCTGGAGCATGTACCACGGCGAGCAGGGCGTCCCCGGGTTCCCAGGCCACCCGCACAAGGGCTTCGAGACCATCACCATTGTGCGCAAGGGTCGCATTGACCACTCGGACTCGCTCGGGGCAAGCGCTCGCTTTGGCGGCGGCGACGTCCAATGGCTCACTGCCGGCGGTGGCATTGTCCACTCTGAAATGTTCCCCATGCTCAACGCGACGGGCAGCAACCACCTCGAGCTCTTCCAGATCTGGCTAAACCTGCCTGCAAAGTCAAAGAACGTCCCGCCGCACTTTACCATGTTCTGGGCAGAGTCCATCCCGAGCTTGACGCTTCGCGACGACGCCGGCAAGGTCACCACTCACGTGTCCGTGATTGCCGGCGCGCTGGAAGGCGCAAGTGCACCGCTGGCACCGCCACCGCACTCGTGGGCGGCGGATGCTGGCAACGACGTCGCGGTCTGGACAATCAAGATCGCTCCGGGTGCGTCGTGGACCCTCCCTGCTGCCGCGCACGCCAACACCAACCGCCGATTGTTCTTTTTCAGCGGTCGGCGACTCGTCGTGGACACTCGGACGCTTGAAAAGCCCGTTGCATGCGACTTGCGCGCGTCTGCATCTGTCGTGCTCCAGAACACGGGCGACACGGAGGTCGAGTGCCTGCTTCTACAAGGGCGAGCTCAGAACGAGCCAACCGTCCAGCACGGACCGTTCGTCATGAACACACACGCCGAAATCTCCCAGGCAATGCAAGATTATCGTCGAACACGCTTTGGCGGCTGGCCCTGGCCATCCGACGGCCCTGTGCATGGCAGCGATCCTGCGCGTTTTGCTCGCTTCCCCGATGGCCGCGAGGAACGACCCCAGCAGCAATAGCTGAAGCGAGAGCGATATTGACTGGACAGTGCATGCAATACAATACAATACAATGCAATACAATACAATACAATGCAATACCAAACTGAAGTTTCATGTTCTGGTTGACACTTGCTTTTTTTTTTTTTTGTTTGTGTGCGAACAGTTTACGTGTTTTTTTTTGTTCGAAATGTTTCAGCGAATCTGGTTAGTCTTCAAGCAAAGAGGCGAGGGGTTAATTTGGCGGTTGATTCTGGAAGATGGAAAGGCAACGAATTGAACAAGCACGTCAATTTTGAAAAGTGTTGGACAACCAGAATCTGCATGCTCACAAACCAAACAACACGCGGAAACACAAAGCACATCAAAAAACATGCACACTTGAAACAAAAAAAACCAAGTCAAGTCGCCTTTGCCCGATTTTTTACGCCAGTGGGCGCGACGCTTCCAGAACAACGCTGCCAAACTTGTCCGACATGACCAGAACCGCAAAGCTCTTCACAGAGTCAAACACGTCGTTGCTGAGGGAAACATAATCAAACAGACCGCGAAGATCCGTGTAGCCGTCCTTGTAGAACTTGGTGGTGCCGTCGTTGAGCTTGGCGTAGACCTTGACATACGCCGACGCAATCGGGCGTTTGGAGGCACGCTCTACAACGCGGACTTGGCCATAGTTCTCCATCAGATGGGTCGTGAGGCCGTTCGAGTAGAACATGGTGGACTTGGACAAGTTGCCCAGAACAACCTCAACAAAGACATTGCCGTTCAGCAACTCCTTCGGCAAAGCCACCGTCACTGCACTGCCCGTAGCGGGGAGCGACACGGGCAGAGTAAGATGCGGCTTAATGTAGGCAAACGCTGCGCTTGTGGCACGCACAAAAGGATTGGTTGAGAAGAGCAACTCAACGTCGCTGGGGTAGAATCGCAGCTCGCCCGAGCGCTCCTTGGCATTGCGAGCCTCGATCGTGATGGTGCCGTCGGTAGCAATCTCCAAGTTGAGCACTGCATCGGTCGAAGCCAGCTGTGCTTGTTGGCGCTCAATGTTGCCAGCTTCATCGCCTTCAACGTTGCGAGTCGGGGAAGCAACCGCACTGCTCGAGCTGCTGTCGCCACGCATGGCAGCATCGTACTCGTCAATCTGCCGAGCCATGTCCGCAAACTTGCTGCGCCAACGCGCGATGGGGTGGTTTTTGTGCTCGGCACAGATCTTGCGGGCCACAGTCAGAGGCGCCACATCAGGCTGTGTGTTGTAGAAGTCGAGGTAGGCTTCGAGATACTCACGCTGCAGACGCATGAACGAGGACGGGATGGCACTGAAAGAAGGGCGACGACGAACAACGAGCTGGTGCTCACCGGCACCGGGAGGAGGGGCCAACGATTGGCCCGCCTTGCTGGACTTGCTCGAGCTGGTGCCGCCCGCTGCCATGGCAAGCAATCGCGATTCCTCTTCCTTGACACGCAGCTGTGCCGCCGCGAAGGTGGAGATTGCTTCCTCAATTCGCGACTGAAGAAGCAAGTAGTACGTCAGGGCAAACAGGTCTGCGGAGGTGGGCGTAGCGCAGCAGACCATGGCATTGAGCAACGACACATACGCGGCCTTGAGCGAGTCGTTGAAGATGTCCCGACGACCGAGCTGGTGGATGCGAGGCGTAAAGAACGGATGGTACTCGAGCATCTGCGCCTCACCTCGGTCTTCGAGCGTGAAGGTGAGCAGGGTGCTTGTCAGGCGAGGCGCGACCTGGGCAATGATTGAAGGCGAGTGCTGCAGCAACTCGGACAGGGCAATCAAGTCAAAATGCTGCAAACTGTAGCCCCAGAGCGAGTGGTCAAAGACACGACGAGCGCGCAACACTGAAAGAATCTCCTGGAACGGCTTGCTCTCGCGCATGCGCCACGCAATCAGGGACAGATCAACACGGCCCAGATTCTGAGTCTGCAAAAAGGCCACGACATTCTCGAGCGTGCCATCCGCCGCAATGTTGGCCCAGCTCGTCTGGTCGACAACTGTCTTGGTGGCCTGCACAACAAGCGGAGCGGCGTCGCCGTACGACAGCAGGCGGCCACGTTTGGTGACGTGAGGCGGGTAGTGCGTGAAAGTGCCGGGCTTGGGGAAGTAGAACTGGTACTCGCAAGTGCTGGTCGAGTAGGGCGAAATTTGCAAATGGCGAGTGCGCGTGAAAAAGCCATCCTGGAGAGGCACGGCGCCCTGTGGGATTTGGAGCAACACCTCCACCTTTTGCGTCGAGCCCGACAGGTTTGTCACGACAACCTGCGCTCCGTACACTGAACCACTCAGGAATTGGGTGACAAACTTGTCAACACGCTCGCTGCCTTCGTAGCCCTCACGCTCGTTCGGGTCAAAGTACTTGACGAACGCCTGCACTGGGGGTGCAGCGGGGTCTCGGGGAGTCTCGCGAACTTGACGAGTGTAAATGATGGCAGCAGAGCGTGTGCGCAAGGTCAACTGCTCGCCTTGGTACTGACGCTCATGCTGCGCTGGCGTGAACGGGACGTCCAACACTGCCAGCGCCATCAGCATTTCGGTCAGCGAGCGCGTCGCCAAGGCCAGGTTGACCGACACGAACGCCTCGCCGGCTTTGCTGCGCTCGACGAACGCCGCATAGTCGCTCCAGAAAGCGTTCGGGGTGATGAGGCTGGCGTTGTGAGCGTCCTTGGCAATCTTGTAGTAGTTGTTTTCCGCGTACTAGGGGATGCAGAAAAGGGGATGAAGGACACAAGAACACATTCAGCAACCTCCAAAACAACGAAATAACAAAAGCACTGCAACGAAACCAAAAGCAAACAAAAAACCCAACAAACCCCCCCCCTGAAACTTCCCCATCAGTTTTGAGTGGCCTTACTTCCTCGGTCGGAGGGGGACGGCGGAAGAGCGCACGTTGCTTGCCAGTGACACGACGACGAAGGTCTCGCTCGCCATCGTCGTCATCAGGAGCCGCTCCCTGATGACCGCCTTCCGAGTATGCTTCTTTGGCCTCTTCCTCCATATCGGAAGAGTCTTCGTCATAGCCCCCGGCGTAGTCATCGGCCGCCATTTCACACTCGTCCATAGCCATCATGGCCATGCCAGGAGGCGGAGGTGGCGGACAAGCGGCCATCATCATCATTGGCTGAGCCATCCGTTTGGCCATCATCGGAGGTCCGCCGCGCGCCATCATTGCCATGGGGGCGGGGGCTCCAAACGACATGGAAGGAGCGAGGCTACGCATGGCAGCGCCGCCGCCGCCAACACTCATACTGTTAAACTCAATCTCCATTGGAACCGCTTCTTGCGGCGGGGGCTCGTCGTTTCCGTCCATCGATCCACCCTGAATGGCAGCCTTGAACAGGAAGCTCCAGCGCTCCGGATCAACAGGGACGAGTTCACTTCCGTGCTTGGTGTTGAGTGCGACCACACCGCGTTCTGCAGCAACGCGCTCTGCCAACAGGATGCGCTCAACAACATTGAGGCGCGAGTAGGCATACGTGTCCAAAAACCACGAAAGGTCGTGCCCGACCAGCCAATGATCGAGGAATGTCTTCTCCTTCTTGTTGGAGTAGTACGAGCGGACAACCGAGTCAAAGAACGGGCGGTCTTTCTTGTACAGGAAGAAGGCAAGCTCGTGGCAGGCGTACTGCGAAAACTTGGCGAGCTTGGTCTCCTGAGACAAGGTTGGCCACTCGAGCACAAAGTTGAATTCTTGGAGCAGCGACGAGTTCGAGATGGCAGAAAGCAGGCGGTAGGCCTTGTCGAGCGAATCGTACACTTCAATCTTGCTGGTGCGAATGTTCTGCACCACAAAGCTCTCATTGGCCTGCACCGTCGCCACCTCCTTTTGCTCCACAAAGTGCGTCGTGGGGGCAAGAGCGTCCGCGAGGCTCCGGTCCTTGGTCTTGAGGGACGAGTTGGCTGGCGCCGCGATTGCGTGGCGCACAACCACTTCCTCGTCGTCGATGGCGGCACACACGATGCGATCACCCAGGCCGCACTGCGCCAGCACGTCAGGCGAGACGTGAATCAGTCCGGTGGTCGGGTCTGGGCGCAGATTGGTGAGGGTTTGCACTGCGGTGGTCAGGAAATCGAGATTCGGATCGCTGCCGCTGCCGGCCACATTCCGCTCGCGCTTGCCCATGAGGCGGTTTTTCTTGGCATGCATGCTGGCAGCAGAACCTTCGCCAACGTGACGGTCTCCGGCGCGAGCGTCCTGGTTGCGCGAATCGGCCTTGCGCACAGCGTACGGGTTGAGGAGCAGCGACGGCTTCTGGAGCATGTTGCCGGGGAAGCGCTTGGCGTACTTGCGGTCAATAATGTACTGCTGCTCTTCGCCCAGCTTCTTCGCAGTTGTGTACTGGGAGGCAGGAACAGAAACGTCTGTGGCCGCGAGAGATGAGCGGCTGGCATTCGGCGCCGTGGAGGAAAGGGTCTGATCAGACACGAGCTGCGGGCGCGAAATGTGAATGCGGGCTTTGGACGACGCATGGGTGACCTTCAGGGTCAGGCCTGTGCGATGGTCGTAAGACGTAACGGCAAGCTGGAGCGGCTGGCGCTTGCGGGGGAGCTGCAGATGACGCGTCGCACCAATCAGCTTGTTTCCGGCAACACGGCCGTCGCTCACCTTCACCTCGACAGTGGCCACATTCGGAAGGCACGGGGATCGGATGCGGAGAATGTAATCGCCGCGCGGCAGACCGGCAATCACAAAGTAGCCCGATTCGCGATCCACACGCACCTTGGCGGACACGTCCGAAATGACACGGTCGCCCTTGACAGACAGCAGCGAAGCGCGCTCCACACTGCAGGAGATGACGGAGGAGTGAGCCTGCTTGCTGGACGTTGAGGACGGAAGGGCGACGAGAATATTCTCACCAGCTTTCGCGTGCACGATCGGGGGCAGCAGAACCGAGTCACGCGGCAGCTCAAACGAACGAGAAATGCCAGGAATGTTCGCAGAGACCGACAGCACATGATTGAGCGGGCCGAGGGAGACGGCGCCGTTGGCATCCGTCTGCAGCGAAACGTGGATGGACCGCGTCACAAGAGCATGTGCAATTTCGAGCGAAATGACGCGCTTGGGAAGAGGCTCGCCACCCTTGCCAATGGCGTGCAGCGAGTATTCGTCACCGCTAAAGCGCAGGTGGATGTCTTCGACCTGGCTGGAGGCGTCCGAGGTGTTGATGGCAAGCGTGTCCGATGCGGACACGGAAGACTTGCTCGAGCCGTTGGTGTGCTGCACCACAGAGGTGAGTTCGAAACGGACCTCGCGAATGCCATCAGCGACGGCAAACTCGTGCACCAGCTCCTCGTCGTCCTTGAACCGAATGTTGCCGAGGCGTCGCACGGTTGGCACGGACTCGTCGTCCGTGAGCGTGACGATGAGCTGTGTCTGCGCCGTGTCGAGCACACTGAGCGAGATGGGAAGGCTGTTCAGGAAGAGTTGCGGGCGAATGAGGACCTTGGCGGTGCGGTTGCCTGCAATCAGCGACTCGCGCTCGAGCAAGAATGCCGCCGAAAAGTCGTACGACTCGTTGCAATGGGTAAAGTTCACAAGGGTCGTAAAGTTGTCGTGGGTGACGAGCATGGCTTGCTGAGAGGTGGAGGCGGCATACGGCACGGTAATCTCCCCAGCAGCAATGGCCGCCGAGGACGAGGTCGCGGCAACCTGGCTCACATCAGCCTCAGACTCGGGCTCGTACGTCTGGTTGCCAATCTTGATGCTGAGGCGGTCTGAGAGGCGAGCGCCCTTCTCATCCAGCACGGAAAAGACATGGCCGGCAACGCCGCGGCGCTCAACCACAGTGAGGCTCCCGACACGCACGATCGCACGCGCTGACAAGCCGGCGCCAATGAGCTCAATGACATGGACTCCACGCTGGACGAGGTTGGGGAACTGGAATTTGCGCAAAACACGGCGCGCAGGCGGCTCGGTGAACTTGTGCACCGTCTCGCGATTGGCGACAATGCCGTCGAGGTTGATGGAGGGGCCGACTTCCGACTTTTCACTCTGGTAGTAGTTGCGAGTGTTGATGTCGTACTCTTTCAGAATCAGCTGGTCAATGTTCTTGGTGTACACGAGCAGCTCCACGACATCGCCGGGCGAAAAGTGGGTCTTGTTGGTGGCAAACTCGAGGTCGACGCGGTCACGCAACTCTTGCGCTTCCGAGGGCGTCAAGGAAGAGTCAGACAGACTTTCACCCGAGGTGATCCTGGCCATGGCGTACTGGCGAACCAAAAACTGCTGGTCCAAGTACATGTCGTACGGCTTGAACGACTTGCACTCGGGCTGCGAGAAAAAGTGGTACAGAAAATCAGACACAATCTCGGTATCGTCACGAAGCGTCGGGATGTACGGTTCCGACATGGACACGCCCGTGTTGAAAACGCAGCTCTGGTCCTTGAAACTCGAGTGGTAGTGCGAACTCGCAATGCGGGTGCGCTTGGGGAGCTTGAGATACTCGATGAACTTGACGCTGTCGTACTTGTTCACTTCGCGATCAAATTGAAGCGCCATGAGGTACACATTGGCCTTGAGCGCATTGAAGGTCGGCCCAAGCTTCAGGATGACAAAATCCCAGAGCCGCGCAATGTAGGCCTCGCGCTCGGAGCGTTCCAGGTCCAGGTTGACGTCCGCCGCAGGGCGCAGCTTGGACAGATACACGTCAACAAACCGCGAGTGGTTGAGCAGCGATGGATGCGCCTTGCTCAGCGCATCCAGCGAGCCCTGCGGCAGCTGAGCATGAATGCTGCGGTTGCCAAAGTCGTTGGGGGTCAGCTCAGCCTTGATGAGCTCGAACGCTCCCGGAAAGTCGGCGTACTTCATGGACTCGACGGCCTTGCGCAAGCACTGGGAAACGACCTTGTCGGAAAGGTGCTCCGCCACATACTCGACGGCCTCAGGCATTCTGAATGAGGACATGTTCCAGTTCGAGCATTCGTCCATGGCGGTCTACACACAAAAAACAAATGTTGCTCGTGGAGTGAGATACATCGACTGAGATGGAGCACGCGGCAGCAAACAGCAAAAAAAAGGAAAAAAAAGGAAGAAGAAAAAGAAGAAGAAGAAACACTCACCTTGGCAAGAGCCTTCGTATCAAGCAACTCGGAATCCAACACGGAGGGGTACTTGGCGGGAGCAGCCTGCTCTGAGGCAGCGGTCACTTGGCGCTCGTGATACAAGTAGGTGTTGAGCTGGTCACGCAGGTACTCGACAGCACGCTCCTTGCGCGGCTTGGAGTCGCCGTCAAAGCTGAGCAAGTGCCTGCGGGTCTCGAGTTGATTCTTGCGGTCCGAGTAGGGGAAGTGCTCGGCGAACTCGGCAAAGAGCTTGTCGGCGCGTTCCGAGTTACCCTGTCGAAATGCCGTTCGACAACAATTGAGCCATTTTCACCTCAAAAGCAGTACCAAAATAACCAAACGTGGACAACAGGACGGTTCATTACCTTGCCAATGTTGAGCAAGTGCTGGAGGTGGTAGACATAGTAGTCCTCAGTGCCGGCTGTTGGGAGCAACGTTGAGGCAACATGCGTGAGTTTTTCCGACACTGAGCGTAGTTTTAGATGCTACGAGTGGCAAGCCCCACACACACGCACACAAATACTGCAACTAGATGAATGCAATTCCATCCAAACGAGTGACTTTGAACAACCGCTTTTTTTGAAAGTGCGCAGTGCATTGAGTGAGTGCGCAAAACCCGACTTTCACCAAATTCAGGTGCCGGCTTTTGATTCTGCTTCAGAGAATGAGTGTCGTCGCTCGTTTGGTCCCACATTCGTTAGTCAAATGCCAAATCGGCTTTTGATTCTGCTTCAGAGAATGAGTGTCGTCGCTCGTTTGGTCCCACAAACGAAAAAAAAAAAAACGCAAAAAAACGAAAAAAAAAAAAAAAAAAACGAAAAAAAAAAAAAAGTTCGCCATTGTTTTTTCAATAGGAATACAAACTTACAGATCTGTTCACCAACGCAGAGCGCCACAGGCCCGGAAACAGAATCAACCCAAACAAAACAAGAAACAAGAAACAAACAAATCCGGAAACAAAACGGCTGGAGTGAGCGACCCAACAAAATCATCATCATCATCATCATCATCATTATCATAGTGGAAGCCGTTGAAGGCGAACAAAAAAAAAAAAAAAAAAAATAAAAAAATACAGCACGTCATCCTGCTCCAATTCCAATCCATAGTGGCGAAAACGCGCGCTTACGAGTTCGCCGAGGGCGCGCTCGCGATCATCAGCAAGAGCAAACGTCTCCTTGAAGCCGAACGCAGAGCCGGAAGTCGCAGCAGCCGGGGGTGCCATGGATGGTGTTTTGTGCTTGAATGTATGTGAATGAAGGAAATTTACAAAAAAAAAAAAAAAAAGACGAGTGGGGAATTTTCGTTCGCTCGGATTGAAACGTTCTTGTATGGAAAATCGCGAGTCCTGAGCCGTTAGCAAGAGTGACGACACCAACAACATGTGAAACAGGGGCGACAAACTTTTCAAAAAAAAAACGCTTGGAAAAGCAAGCTGATGCCATTCAATGCAATCCGAGCAACTCGTTCACAAAAGTGGAAGCATGTGTCGAAAAATTTCTACCGCTCTTTATGCACGTTGGCGAGCATGTTGCTTCTGCATTAACAACTAACAAACGAGAAAAAATCCAAACAAAAGCACTCTGTTATCGGGGCTTGGGCATGATGGGCAGAGCGGTGGATACAGAGGACGAGGTGCCCGGGAAGAGAGCAGAGCCGATGGCGCGCACAGCACTCAGAGTGGCTTCTCGAAGCTGCTCAATCTGACAATGATTGGACAACCACATTGCCATCGTGTCAGAGACGGCGTCGGGCGTATCGGCCCTGACAATGGGACTGTAGGTGGCGAAAAGCTTGTCTGCGATGCTGCTGAAAATCCAAAACTTGAGATTCTGCGTGGATGTGGCCTGCACATACTCGCGGTACATGATGTTGGTTGGGTCTGGTGGCTAAATCAGGAGGACAAAAGAGAATTGCAAGGAAGACGCCAAAGAATGAGACGGATGGGTGCGAAACATAAATCGCCCACGACTGAATACGTACTCGTGTTGGAAGCATCGCCTGGTTTGCTCCAGACTGCAACAGGGCCGCTTGTTGTTGGCTGTGAAAGTGACAATCAACCCCCCCCCCCCAAGCAAATTGTGAACGGCGGAAATGTTTGATCGACACGTCGCTCATTCGCCAACTCCTCACTGTACCTGATGCTCATTTTCAGAGCATAAATCTCTTGGCGAAGACGGTTGGCCTCGGCCAAGGCGGCTGCGTTCTGACGGTGCACGCTCTCGATGAATTCGACCGTTTTGGACAGGACGGTTGCCTTGCACAGCTTTTGATTCGGCTTGAGGCTGAACGACGTGTGTCCAGCGACCGGCAACTGAATCAAGCTTGTCAATTCATCAAACCCAGAGCGCAGGGTGTCGCGGCGTTTTTGCTCGTGTGCCACATGCGCGAGTTTCGACAGAGCAACATCCGTGGTGCTGTTGCGGCGGGAATTTGGGGCGCTGCTCGACTGGTATGAGGCGGTGACTGGTGGCACTGACGGGCCAGAGGATAATGTCGGCTGCAAAGCGATGCGCAACTGTGGAGCTGAGTCCAATCGTGGTGAGAATTCGTTCTGGGGGCCCCCATACGCACAAACAGAATCGCACACGCTGCGGCGACTTACCTCCAGCTCGATCGTTTGCAACCCACGAAGCGGGCGCGAAACTTGGGAGTGTTTGTTCGCGGTGGAATAGTTGCTCAAGTCTAGGCTGCGACGCGTGAACGTTACCCATGCCTCGTGCTGCGTTGAGATGACAGAAACAAAAGAAACGAAGGACAAGGAGCAGTTGACAATGAGCCGGCAATTTCACAACCTGCACCGTCCGAGTTCATGCCAAAAAAAACACGACTTGCCAGGGGCATTCGCTCTAGCGGCGTCCATGATGGCAAACGGCCCCAAAGAGCTAAAAAGCGTGTCGGACAGCCCATTCAGAGCTTCACCGAGCATTTCGTCGGCGAAAATGTCATTTTCCACAAGATCTTTGAGCAAATTCTCCTCATCCGCCGAAGCCAAACTTTCCAGAAGCGCAAATCCAGAGGAGGGTTCCACATCCATTGTCGTAGACATTGAAAACGGTTCTGTCGACATGTCTATTGGCGCTGGTGGTTCAGCTGGCACTTCGGGCATCAAGCTGGTCGATGGGGCCGTGGGCTCTTCCGATCGACGCTGGATTTGTCGATACACCTGCATACGTACACAATGACAACAACGCACAAAGGAGGTGGGCATGAACATCGGACACAGAAATGGCAGCTCGCTCACCATCGACTTTTCAATCCTCATCCAGCCCATCACAAGGCCGCACAATCTCCAGATACAGCCTCCTATCACAGCATCCTTACATCGCTCTTATAGAATGCTCGCCAGCTGTGGTATTCACGAGCAATCCGCGCGAGTTGCCCGCGAAGGACTTGGACATCATTCTTGTGCTTGGCAGCCGCCGCCTGGGCGAGGGCTGCTCGGTCGACATTAAAGTTCACGTAGGGCGTGGTGATTCCATGGACCCGCCAGAGATGCCATGCGCGCCAGATGGCATTGTCCAAGCGCTTCTTCTCAATGTGCTCGAGGTAAACGGCTGTCTTGGCTTGGGCTGCCTCGTTGCTCGTGTAGCGGGGCTCGCTCTCTCCAGTCACGCCGCCGTACAGCGCAGAAGAGGATGACGGCAGGTCGTTCTGCCTGCCATCGTCAGCAGTGCCCGCCCCGGAGGAAGACGCCGTGCTTGCAGCGAGGGTCTGACCGCGATAGCTGTTTGAGCGGGAAAACTTTTTCCACCGCGGAACGACTGCGTCCACCGTGGCATCGTACTCGAGCGACAGGTGACTGAAGACACGAGCAAGCGACTCGTCGAGCTGCACAGTGGGGTGCGACGGCGGCGGCGGCGGCGGCACGGGTACTTGGGCGTGGGCCAGCGACTGCTTGACCGCAATCTCGTTCGTCTCGTTCATCCCCGATGTGTGCTGAGCAGCGCAGCCACACTGAAAGTGAAAAACGATGACTGGCCACTGATAATTCTGACTACAATTCTCAGTTTGCTCAGTTTGAACTGTTAGTCCATTTTTTTTTTTTGTCGTTTCGGTTTTCCGAGTTTGTTTCAAAGCGATGAACGCGTTGGTGGATGTTCAGCATGCGTTGCTGTCAGAGTCATCCACCGACCAGCCGATGACAGCAGCAACCACGACGACTGCAACTACGTCTACTGCTGCTGCTGCTGGTGCGGGCGCTGCTGCTGCGAGCGACGAGCGATTGCTGCAGAAGGTGCAGAAGGAGCATCGCGACGCCTGCGCCGAGCTTGACGCTGCGGACGAGATGCTTGCTGGCACGCAGAACACCCTCGCGCTGATGCAGCGTAAGTAAAAGAAGTGGCGTTGTTGTCGGTGCGTGTGTATTTGGGGGGGGCGGTCCCGAGGGAAGGGCGTTCAATGCTCCCAAAAGGGAGCAACAAAAACGAAGAAGAACCAAAAAAAAAAAAAAAAACCCAAGATGAACGCCAGTTGCTTGCATGAATTGAATCTTGAAACCAATCTTGTCCCTGCAGTTGCCTTTGAATTCACTGCTGCTATTGTCCCTCTTTTCATGTCGGAAAACGCCTAGTCCATGCGTACGAGATCTCGTTCCGAACACTCGATCTGCTGACCCCGTTGGAGCAGGCTGAAATTGAGGCCAATCTCAATGCGTGCAAGGCGTCCATCGCAAAGTTCGAAACACAGAGCGTTTCTTAAAAACGAGATCCTTTTTGGAATGTCCGATTGTCGTTGTTTCGGATCAGACGAAATGAATCATTCCATGTATTCGCGGACTGGGCTGAATTGTCGCTCATAGGAATCGCGTCATTGCTCTTCGTTCAAATACAATTGCTCCTCATCTTTAGATCTATTTCAATCCAATTGTTTGAGTATGTCGCCTTTGCCCGACGCAGCTGCTCTGCCATTCGTGATTTTGGCAAAACTTGTCATGTCACAACCACCGCCCTCAACGCCATCGTCAATGTCGTCCCAAGCATCAATGCCGGCGCCGGTGACGCACTCCATGCGAGTCATTCGCCGCGTTGTGCGGCTTCCAAATTCAGCAGCTTTGGCGAGCCTTTCATCACAACTTAGGTCATGGTCGATGGCAGGCGAGACCAGCGACGCAGAGACAATCTCTCGCTCAGACCGGCCAATCATTCTCCAGTTGACAGTGCTGACTGTCACTAAACGATCAACCTCACTGGCAGCCAGCAGCATCTCATCCATGCATCCTGCTTCTGACATGCAGGATCAACGTCGACGAGTCCGAGCGAGGCGTGCTCGCCTGATTCCTGCTTCTCTTCCTCCTCCCCCGACCACACCGTTATTGCCACCTGCATACGTGCCCGTAGTTCCAAGTCATACAAACTACTTGGTATCATCGCTGGGAGACGGCAAGCCAGCACTGTCACCAATGCACGACGTCTGCACGTCAGATTTGACAGGTGATTCCTGTCAACGCTGGTCGGCCATCCTTGGTCGGAATAATCGTCTACAACGAGAGCTCGAGGATCCGCGCATGCTGCTGAACGATGCCTCTTGGAATCTCGAGGCTGCTCAACGGTGCTTTGGGGAAGTTCCGGTCTCGCGTCCAATTCATCAGTGTCGATCAGTGACAGGTTTGACGTCAACAACGACATTGCCAGAGTCGACCAAGCCCGCTGAAAACGCCTCGCCGGATGTATGCCCAATTTGCATGTCAGTGATAAAGGACCGGACTCGCACGCCTTGTGGACATGCGTTTTGTGCGAGTTGCATCCTCGAATGGCTTTGCCACAAACCGGAATGTCCAGTCGACCGCAACCCGCTACCCTACCACTCTCTTCGACTGGATTCCTGCGCTGATACATCAACCAGCGATTGAAGGGTGCCCCAAAGTAGTTGTTGGAGCGATTGTGCATGCGCTGTGTTCATGGGGTTGTAAACCACTGCGGTGGAAAAAAAAAATCGTAACATTGTGACATATTTGAGAGATTGGCAACAACACAATACATCAATCAATAGAAAAAGCAAGAAGAAGAAGCAACTCTTCACAAACAAAAACAGCACAAACACACGGAGAGGGAGAACACAACGTGTGAATAGAAAAAAAAAAAGCAGCGAGAAAGCAAAGGCGCTCATCGCTTGCCATTAAGCAAAGGTGCCGCGTCTGTTGACTCGTCGTTGTCGTCGTCTTCTCGATTGATGCTGCGCCTTGTTGTTTGAACATCGCTCTGGTAGTGATACGCACGAGCAACGGGGTCGAGAGACGAGGTGGATGCGTTGAGCGGACTTTGGCCTTCGGCCGTGCCGTAGTTGGCCTGCTTGGACGCAGGATCGACTTCCGGGATGTCACGATCCGTAATGAGGGGTGCGTATCCGGTGGCAGAAGGGAGCGCGAGCACGACTGCCTCGCGATCCGCCTGAAGTGTTCGTGCCGACCACCAAAAAGTGACGGCACCAATCAAGATGCAGACCGAGCACATTTGAAGGGAGTACTTCAACGGCGTGCCAGACATGTTGTCGTAGTTGTACTTGTCTGAAATGACGTCCGAAATGGCGCCAATCAAGAGCGGACTGAAGGCGTCGCCAAACATGTGCGAGACGAGGTTTTGGAAGCCTTCGGCCGAGGAGCGCAACTGCGGCGGGGAGACGGACAGCAGAATGGCAGCGACCGGTGCCCAGTTGAGGAAGAGCATGCACTCGCCAAAGAAGAGGAGCACCCACATGGCGTCGAGAGAAGTATCGACCAGGAAGAGGGCCGCTGTGACCAAGGGCACCGAGACCAGGAGGCCGACCGCGCACACAATGGCCTCGGCATCGCCGCGCGTCACTCTCAGTCGTCGCGTCAACATTGCACCCGCGATGGTGCCCATCAAGCCTGTGGCACACGTGATGGCGCCAAACACGAACGAGCTCTTGTCCTTGCTCCACGGATCGCCAGAGCTGGAGGTGATCTTCCACACAAACGTCGGTGCCCAAAACGCCAAGCCACCGGCAGCAAACGTCACGGCAGTAAAGCCAATGGTCGACCAAGTGAACGAGTGGATTTTGACAATCTTCTTCCAGTCCTGGAAGACGGCGCGGATTGAGTGGTGCTCGTTATGAACCACAAGGCCATCCGAAGCGCCGCGCTGCGGCTCGGCAATGAAGAGGTACTGAGCAAGGGCCAAGATGACGCCGAATGCTGGGGTGATCTGGAGGGTTTCGAGGTTGGGGGAGTGAAAGCAAGGTGAGCGATTTTTTCTCCTGTCGACAACAACGAACAATCCAAGATCAACGTACACGGAAGGCCCAGCGCCATGATCCGAATGCCGAGGCAAACTGGCCACCGAGAATAAATCCGAGAGCGCTGGTTGAATCCGCAACGAAATACAGAAAGTTAGATACCAGTTTTTTGGTGTCAAATCATCACCCCCTCCAACCATATTTGCCCCAAAATCAAGCTGACACTATACCTTCCAACGGGAATTGCAACATAGTAGTAGGCGAGCACAGTGGTACGGGTCTTCTCGTCGTAGAGATCGGCAATGAGGGTGGGGGAGATGGTGGCGTAACTGGCCTCGCCGATGCCGACCAACGAGCGGAAGAAGCACAGCAAGATGAAATTGGGTGCAAACGAGCTTGCAAATGTGGCCGCAGACCAGATCAAGATGCCAATCATGAGCAGCAAGGTGCGGCTGATGCGATCGCCAAAGTAGCCAAAAATTGGTGATGCGACCATGTATGTGACGATAAACAGCGTCTGTCAAAAAACAAAAGAGCAAAAGTAAATCACATCGTGATCAAAGCAATAACATGCATACAAATCGCCAATTGGGAAACTGTGCAAGCTCAAAACACAGCAACGTCGCGACAATAGAAAAAAAAAAAAAAAAAAAAAAAAAGAGAAAAAAAAAAAAAAAAGAGGGGCACAATGCACAGCCACTGGTCCTATGAACGGACACGGCACGGGTCGAGCTTCACCGTGGCACAATTCGACTGCTTTGTGTCAAAGCGTATGGTGCTGTCGGTGGACGTGGAGTGCTGTTGTTACCTGGAGCAGGGCAGCAGACGCATCCGAAATGTCGTCGTCAAAGCCAGAGGTGGTTGAGTTCTGAATGTCAGCGACGACCGCTGGAGAGCACAAACGAGCAAGCAGCAAAATTGAGTGAGGGGTTCGAGAAGCGAGAGAGAGAGAGAGAGAGAGAGAGAGAGAGAGAGAGAGAGAGAGAGAGAGAGAGAGAGAGAGAGAGAGAGAGAGAGAGAGAGAGAGAGAGAGAGAGAGAGAGAGAGAGAGAGCGAGCGAGCGAAGCCTTTGGCTGGGTTTGTTGCGGTGTGGAAGCGAGGATGACCATCTCCCATCTCCCGTCTCCCAGTATGTTTTACCAGCAACAGTGTAGCGATCAATGTAGTTGATGAGATTGATGCCAAACAGAATCAGCACAGAGCCGACCGTGCCCAGCTTGCACAGCACCATGTTATTTGTTGTTATGTGGGGCTGGCTATTTGTGTTTGTAAAACGACTGAAGCAAACTTTATACACACGCTCCCCCCTTTCCTATGACAACGAACTCCCACGACGCAAAATAAAGCTTGATCATATCGCGAGCAGATTGAACTATTCTAGATCGCACTGCCACTCGAGGACTTAGAATGGCATAGATCAAACCTCGAAACATGGATCCGTCATCATTTGATTGAGGACTGCGAGCGCAGCTCTGCGAGTGCAAGGGCTCACTGGAATCAGCCGCCTTGGGTCATCCGGATCGCGCTTGACCATGTTGGTCTCCAGCCATACATCATCAAGTGTCTCAAGAGTCTGACCGTGCAAAAATATTGCGGTAAGGTCTTCAACAAGACGGCGCTTGCTGGTAGCTCGCTTTCGGACTCTATCGAGTCGGCAGCCATAGTAGCTCCAGTACATGTCCTGCAAATCGGAGTTGAAATTATTCTTGAAGTGCGAAGATGCATACCACTGCAAAATGTGCACAACGCCACCGAGGTCGAGGAACTGCCTCTGCATTTCTTCGCGAGTGACTGCCAAGGATGGGCTGCGGTAGTACCAAATGGCGCGTAGCGTCTCAGCCTCTTCGGGAGTGAGCGGCTGAACTGTCACTTTTGCATCCCCAGCTTGCGCATCGCACCAGACTTCGACCGAACCGTTGCTGAGCGAGGAGCCGATTGCAGTCACGAAGAGCGAGCAACCGAAGCTGGCGTCGAGCCTGTAAAAGTCTTGAGCAGGATGGTCTGCCTCGAGCTTGTCCCGGTCTCCAACGGGAAGTGCATTCGCTTCAATGATCGCATTCCACTGGTCGATGAGGACGAGTACACGAAAACGGTGACTCTGGGACTCGAGGCTTTTCAATGCAGCCTTGATGCGGCCCCACTGGTCGAGAGAAGCCTCAGAATCTCTAGACGAGGTCTTGCGTCGCACAAACGCATCCTTGAGTACCTCAAACGCGGGCTCGTCAAACATTCGAGACTGCAGGAAGCGGCGGTTGTTCACTTGCATTTCGTAAATCAGTCCGAAGGCCGCCCATTCGGCAGTCTTGTCCACGAACGAATATGTAGCGGGCTGGTAGATGAGAAAGATGACGCCATCGAATGAGGCGCGAGCAGGCCCAGGAGCTGAAGCAACAAGGGGAGAAGTAGAAGTAGAAGCAGGAGCAGGAGCAGAAGCCGGTGCAAACAAGGCCTTGTTGTGGCGCATGGCCAGTACGGCCAGCATCAGCATGATACTGCTTTTGCCGGCACCACCGACACCTGCCAGATAGCGAGGCTTGGGTGATTTGTTCGAACCAAGCAAGTCCAGAAAGATTTCTTCAGGCAGTTTGCGATCCACCAAGTCGATTGTTCTGCCGTGTTCACGCCGCAACCCTTTGAACGGGTCCGGAAAATTGTAGAGGCCGTCCAAATCATCTTGGGAAATAGTGAATGTGGTTCCTGGGTCTGGTCGAGCCACGAAAGGCTGTTGCTGTCGTTGCTTGGTGGCATCGTCCGTGTCGAGGCCGCAAAAGAGCAAATGGTCGTCCTGGTTCACGAAAACGCGCCCGTCAGTTCAAACGAAAGCACGCCAGCCAAGACCACAGCGCTTGAGTGCTTACACTGAAGGCTTCCCGTTGCATTTCAGTTTGAGGTACGGCCGCGGTGGACTTTACTGTTTTTGAAAAGTAGGCGGCAAAAGGCGCCAAAAGTGACTGAGAGTTTCCTTTTGAGCCCCACGAAGAGGATGCTCATTTAATTCATGTTCCTGTAGAACGTACAGGTTGCATCCTGGCTTGTTTGTTTCCCCAGGATTTCGGCTCACGTCGTCGTCGTCGTTGTCGTTGAGGTTGAGGTTGGTGTCGTGGTGTGCCGTGAATAGCAACTGACTTTGACCTGCAAATACAGATGTGAAATACTAGAACAAGCGTATTCCAAGATATGCATTCATTCCCATATCGAACCAGCGCGCATGCTCAGTCTTTAACAACGGTATTCCACTGTCAACTCTTCAATCCTCCTCCTTCATATTGAGAGTCCTCTTCTATTACCGAATAACACAGTGAAGAATGAGGGGAAGTCCGATTCGGGATGAGCCCAGTTCGTAACACGATGTCTGGATTTGTTTGAAGTTTGTGTGAGCAGTCTAACAGTGCTCGGGCTACAGTAAAAGCCTGAGGCTGGGTGGCGCTCAGTCAAATCGAAGCGCAACTTTTCCCCTGCGATCCGCACCAAAATTACCAAAGCAACTCTATACATTATGCTCTTTCCAATGATATCGGTGGCAGGGCGAGGAAATGAACAGGGGGGGGGGCTTCGAGTTTTTTTAAGGGAGGCCCTCTCTACATCACACCAGCGAACAAAGTGAACAAAAACACATCAAGAGCACACAAACAACAGCAACAAACAAGCGCGGGGGGGGGGGCAAGCCGCTTCTTGTAGCGCAAACTTGCGAACTGAGAATCAAATTTGCGTAATGGGGGATGCACGGTGAACATGACAAAAGCCGGATTTGTCCGAGGTTCTGTTGCGGCATTTTCGCGTCTTGTTCTGAATGTACGAGTTACACGCTGTCACGCCTGTGAGCTTGAGAACTGCAGCTTGAGGCAGATGGACGCAAAAGTTGCCGTTTGTCTCCTCAAACACGAGTTGAGTCTCGACAAACTTGATGTCAACAGCACGGCTTTCAACAACACCGCTTGCGTGCTTTTCGTCAGGCAGGAACACGACATACTCAGGGCCGTTCTCCTCCGGGACCGGTTTAGGTGCGCATCGTGGGCTCAGAAGCAGCAGGATGACTCGGCTTGTCGGTCTTGACTTCAGCGCTGTCCAGCAAAATACCAACAAGTCAAGACGCGAAGATCCATCGAGAATTGCAACACAGACGACACAGACGACCTTACCTTGGAAAGCCAAATTCCAAAGCGCAGTCAGCCAGGAATGTGTTGACCTGGTCTCTAAACTGCAGTCCTCCCAGTGAGAAAGTTGTTTGCAAGATGGCACAGTAGAGATACCAGCAAAGATCTTCATGCTGCATGGCGTCGTCGAGAGAAAGCTGGCGCAGAGCCAAGTTGTCGTGAACCATGCAGCTGACGAGAGCTCGAGTCGGGTCAACGCCGGCGCACTGACTGACGTGCCTTCGAAGAGCGGCCACAATCGGTCGTATTGAGGAAGGCGCGTCTTCTATCGTCTTGCCACTAACGGTGCTGGAACCGCCAATACTGAGTGCGGACGTAGAGCCACTCAACCCACTGTCACTGCCCATGCCAACGCCGCACTGGGTGCTAAATAGAGTGAGCAACTCGGCTTGAAACTCTGCGATGGTCATATCTGCAACGGTGGGATGCACAACGTAATGAACCATGCCACCGGCAAGCCAATTCTCATCCAGACTGCGCGAGAATCCGAGCTTCGTTTGAGCAAACTGCTGCTCTTGTGCCACAAAACAATAGGATGCCTTGCGAGTTAACCTCCAGAATGGTGATACTCGGTCGTTAGTTGGATGCGGCACGACCACCGAAAACCCGACAGCTTTCGAACTCCCGTTTGCGTCTGACAAATCAACAACGGAAAGAAAGTGAAAGGATTGCGACCTCTCTCCAAAACGAACTCCAAAAACGAAAGGAGCCAAAACAAAAATCACGTACAATGCTGCAAAACGCCAGAGCCCGGCGAAGTTTCAACATAGTCACTCTCCATCAACTTGAAAGGCGAGGGTAGCGAGTCCATGCAGAGGCGGTGGAGATGCTGGTGATCTTGAAGAACAAACAAAGAGACTGCAAGCCACGTCATTGTGGAAGGAGGGAAAGAACACGAGAAAAGCAGCGTTGTCAGAACGTTGTCAACAGCGTGCCCGCCCGACTCGATTCGGTTCGTTCATAACTTTTCGGTGAGAGAACATACGTCTGTCTGGTGCGACGGCTCGGCCATGATGAAGCGGGTGCGGGATTTTAACTGAAGAGATATAAAAATGGCTTTTTTGGTTGATTTTTCAAAAACTGGCCGAGACACTCCAAACTCGGATACATGCTTGGTGCACATTGCGTCATGACACAAAGCTGCCGTGATTCCATTCAAAGCAACTGATATACGAAAAACAGTGTAAAGATGCTGGGAACGGGATGAAGCAGGCGAGAATCGATGGTTCGTTTGGCGCTCAGCCAAATCGAAGCGCAACTTTTCCCCTGCGATCCGCACCAAAATTACCAAAGCAACTCTATACATTATGCTCTTTCCAATGATATCGGTGGCAGGGCGAGGAAATGAACAGGGGGCTTCGAGTTTTTTAAGGGAGGCCCTCTCTAGATCTACGCTCTGGAGGATTGACTATTGCGTTTTGGTGAAAGTTTTCGTGCTTAGAACTGGAGGTAGAGCTCTCCAATCAACCCGAAAAAAAAAATGAGAATCATCGCCAAACCCATTTTGATCTGTTCTGAGAATTTTTTTGACCTGTCGCTCAGTCATCAAAATCCGACTTGCATCTCAAAGTCATTCAGGATGTATCGCGCCTCGCTGCTGGCGACCAGGACGCTGGCCGCGGTTCACCTTCATTGCGTAGTACACGCACGGGCCATGTCAACATCAACAACAGCAGCAGCAGCGGCAGCAGCAGCTGGATGCGGCGTACTGAGCCCGCGTCTGCCAAAGCCTCAGCCGCAGCACAATCTTGCGATCTCACTCTTCCAACCGTCGCCCGCATTGTCAAGATCCGCCTCGACGACTGCGCGTTCCAGCAAGCGAGGCTCAACAACAACAGGCGCTGCAGCGTCCAGCAAGTCGACTCCCGCGGTGGTGCCGAGCAATGCTGCTGCTACTGCTACTGCGGAATCTCGCGTCATCAGGCCGAAATCTCAACGCGCCAAGACAGCCGCCGTCTCGAGTCACGTTCCGATGAGCGACCTGGCTGCTCTCGTTTCGAAAATGCTTGCCACAGACTCTGTTGCTCAGCGACGGGTGATCCTGGGCGAGGTTGACGACAAGATGGCTGCGCTGCTCAGATTGATTTACAATCCCAACATTCGATTTGGGGTGACAAGCTTATCACTTGTCAAAAGCACCCCTGCCAAGTCAAGCGCCAAAGACGTGTCTGCGAGTGTGAAAGCTGGAGCACCGACTCCAAACACTCCGGCATCCTTGTTCGAGTTGCTCTCCGAGCTCTCCACTGGGCAGCTTCGAGGCTCTGCTGCCACTGATAGTGTTTGGCGCTTCATTGCGGAAAACAAGGGCCACCAGCGGTTGATTCTGCAGGCCATCGACAAGGACTTGCAGTTTCGACTGCTCCATGAGGGGATTGACAAGGCGCTTCCTTCGCAAAGCTCCCGTGCCAAGGTAGATGCCAAGGTAAATGGTAGACAGCTTATTGCAAGCTTACGGAGGAAGAGGGAGATGAATGCATTTGGAGGAGGCGGGGGGGGCGGTTTGTGTGACGTTTGCAGCCAAGACTGTTGTTGACTTTTTGTACTTTTTGATTGTTTCTTGGTTCACCCAGATGCACATCGCCTTGGCTTTTAACTACAACGATTACGTAGATCGCGTGGACTCCCTCGCATCAACACCAAGGTGGTATGCCTCGCGCAAGCTCGATGGCATTCGCTCCTTGACGCAAGTCACCCGGGACAAGGAGGGCCAAATAACGTTCCAGTTTTTATCTCGCTCGGGGAAACCACTGTCCGGCTTTGACCTCATTCCCGAGCACATTCGTCGATTGATTGAGCAATGGGAGCTGAAGCGCCCCGTACTGGAGCAGATCCTGTCCGACCGTTCGAAAAACGTTGCAGGCACTGCGTTGCTTCGACAAGCAGTCGACCGATTGCCAGCAGGACGCCCGTTTACGCTCTTTCTCGATGGCGAAGCCTTTGTTGCGAATGAGAAAGGTGACGAGAGTTTGAGTGCAGCCATGTCCGCGTTCCGCAGCACAAAGCTTGGCGCTCAAGTGGCGCCCTCGTCGTCCAAATCTGTGGCCTTTTTCGATCTGCTCTCACTTGAAGAGATGGCCGAAGGAGAATCGCAGCGCAAGGTGCCGTTCGAGGCGCGTCAACTCGCGCTGCAGCTGCTCCTGGGCATTCCGCTGCACCAGCCAGCCGAGCTTGCGGTCGAGCCTGCCAACTTGCCAGTTCTCGCGCGTCCACCGCCACGAGATTTCACAAAATCCATGCTCATTCCATCTCCGTTGACTCCAGAGTTGCAAATGGTCCGCCAAATCCGCCTTGAGAAGGCGAGTGACATCCAGGCGCTTCGAGATGCGGCAGCAGCGACCAAGTGGGAGGGATTTATGCTCCGCAAGAATGTGCCATACGACGGCCGACGAACGTAAGGGCAAACTTTTCTGGTGATTGTGTTTATGTTTTCGGCTGCTTTTTCTGTGCTGGTTTACTAACGCGTCCCATGCCCGCCCATGATTGATAGACCCGATTTGCTCAAGGTCAAGTCCCAGAAGGAAGCAGAGTTTGTTGTCACAGCTGTCGAGAACGGCCCCATGCGATTGGGAGGGTCGGATGTTGAAGAAATTGCCTTAGCGGCTGTCACGATTGACTACGAAGGTGAGGAACCAATTCAGAAGCAAAAAAAAAAAAAAAAAAAAAGAGAGTTGACAACGAATTGTGTAAAACTCACAGACGTTGCAATGGATGTGATACAAACCAGGCCACAAGGTGAATGTCGGGTCTGGCTTTACCAACGAGCAACGTCGCTACTTTGCCAAGCACCCCGAGGCAATTCTCGGCAAGGAGATTACCGTTCGGTTTTCCCTCGAGAGCACGAACAAGAAAGGCGGCAAGTCGCTCCGCTTTCCAATCTTTATGGTTTTGCACGAGTCTGGCAAGCGTGATGTTTGATGATAGTCCGCCGTCTCTCCTCCCTTGTTTCCCCGGTTTGCAACTGCACCGTGCCCCCTATCTGTACATTCAAACACACACATTCGGGTTGTTGATCGTTTTTCCAGTCAATCTTTTTTTTTTTTTTTTTTTTTTTTTTTTTTTTTTTCGATTCCAGTCATGCCAGACGATCGCTCGCCATTGCTTCCGTCGTCCAGCGAGCACCCGTCCGCCGCTTCGTCGTCGTCGTCTGCTTCATCAACTGGAAGCAGCAGTCGACGTGGACAGCAGAAGCAGCAGAAGCAGCAGAAGCAGCAGCAGCAGTCCAGGCGTCGACTTCAGCCGCAGCCGCGTGAGGCATCTGATGCGCAGAACAGCGACGACGACGACGATGAGGACGCCGCCGAGCCGACCGACGGGCTTCTTGTGAACAACCCGTACTACTCCATCCAAGGCGCATCGCAGCCCAGCGAGGTCGTCAGCAGCAGCACCGTCAGCAGCAGCAGCAGGGCGGGACTCATGCATGGGGATCGTGACCAGCAGCAGCAGCGAACCGCCTCGTCTGCTGCTTCGTCTGGTGCTACTACGACTACTACTACTACTTCTACAACTACTGCTGCTGCTGCTGCTTCGTCCAGCAGTCTGCAGGTGGGCGACGAGACGCGGTCGGCGGCGGCTGCGGCTGCACTGTCGAGGCATTCGCCAACACCGCAGACGACAGGATCGCTGCTGGGACCTCACAGTGCTGGTGCTGGGCCCCACTATGGTGCAACGGGCACTACCACGAGCAATGCTGCTACTGGCTCGTCAAGCAGCGCGTTGGCTGGCAAGTCCAAGCACGGGCACTCGCGCCACCCGTCTACGTCCTCGGATACGTCCGCTGGACTGCCACGCGTTGCGAGCGCGCACTCGTTGACTGGAACTGGCCGCGATCACAGCCCGAGCAATGCTGCATTGTCAACCTCGTCCTCGGATCCGCATCTGCTCAGTACGCACTCAATCACAAGCAAGAGTGGCGAACGCAGGCCCCTCAACTACACACCAACCAGCTCGCCGACTCCCGCGTCCGCCATGTACAGCCGCTACAAGTACTACAACAAGCTTGCCCCTGCCGAAGTTGAGACTCTGGTATGTGCATTGCTTTTTTGGGTTGTCAGTGATGTTGTGTCTGGGGGAATCGGACTTTGTCTGATCATTCTGCGCTATTTGTACGCACGACAGCGGATACCCAACCATGTTTTGCCGCCCAATTTGTTCATTCTGTCAGCAATTGGCGGCAAGGCGTCGAAGCCATCGCAGTCGAGTCTTGTCACCATGTAAGTCGAACAATGCTCAGAATGTTGGCGTTTGCCATTTCGATCAATGTCACTTCCCCAACCACCACCACTCCGATCTACTCCCGCAACAGCCTCTCGATCTGGAACACCATGATCGGAACATCCATGCTCTCCATGCCTTGGGCAATCCAACAAGCGGGATTCTCTCTTGCCATCATTACCATGATTGCCATGGCCTTGATCACGCTGTACACTTGCACGCTCGTGGTTCGTCACGGCAATGGTGGATTTGGTGAGTTCCGGTGGTCTGGTGTTCATTTGCTGCTTGATCGCATTTGCAAGTTGGACTCTCACAAGCCAACTGTCTGTCTCTTCCCCCGCGTTTTTTGCACCTGCCGCCAGGTCCCAAGGGTGAAGAAGTCGAACTGCCAGAGGTTGCTCAGCAATTCCTGGGTCGAAAAGGATTCTACGTCGCCATCACATTTGCCTTGGTCACTTATGTTGGCGCGCAAATTGTGTATTGGGTGTTGATGTCTGGATTCTTGTTTGCCACGGTTGATTACATCCACGGTACGTCATAAAGTCAACACTGCAGAATGCACTGTCTGACGCTGAATTTTGATGAATGGCGGTCTCACGGACGATGTTGGAAACAAACGCTGTACACAGATCACGGAAACAGCAACTCCTCTAGTACATCGTCAGATACCTTCAGCGAGTACTGGAACAATACCTACGCTCCTTTGTATTTGGTTGTGTTGCTGTTCCCCCTTTGCAGCTTCAAGTCCCTGACCTTCTTCACCAAGTTCAACTCGTTCGGTGAGTCAGTCACCAACACACACGGTTTCCATACTTTACAAAATTTCCAGGCTTTTTTCTGACTCATGCCTTGTTTTTGGCCTTTCTGCTTTTCTCAGGAGTCGTTTCGATTGCCTACATCATCTTCTTTGTGCTCTACAAGGGCGCCGAAAGTGGCGTGCACTTTGACCACGTTAAAGAGTTTGACGGGCACTTTATTTCTCTCGCTGGTGTCTTGACCCTGTCCTTCTTTATGCACAATGGCAGTTTGTCCATTGTGCGCAACAACCGCAACCCGGCCAACAATGTATGCAGGTGTTTCGTTTTGTGTGGTTTCTGCAGCGAATGACTCGTGGCTGAACTTTGGAACTCTGATACAGGTTCGCGATCTCAGCATTGCATACGGTCTTGTGGCCATGACCTACGCCGTGGTTGGATTTATCTTCTTTATCACTTTTGATGGCGATAAAGATAAGATTACCTCCAATCTGCTCGAGAACTTCCAAAAGAGCGACGTCATGGCGCTTGTTGCACGCTGCTTCCTGCTGTTCCAGATGATTACAGTGTAAGGATGACGGCCGAGGGAAGTCTGCGACCATGTTCTAACGGCTCACCATTCCATCGCCGTCGCTTGCAGATTCCCCCTGCTCATGTACATTGTGCGCTTCCAGTTCATGAATTCCTTCTTTGGTAGTCCGTACCCGAGGTGAGTTCTGCTTGCCTTGCGCACTGTGACGATGCGACTTGTCTCTTTCCGAGGTTATTGCCTCGCCAACAAATTGTTTGTTTTGTTGATGCCCACGCAAACAGCTTCTTCAAAGTAACTGTGCTCAACGCAGTCATCACCGCTGCATGTGTCACGATGGCTATCGTGTACCCAAACATCGGCGACATTATTCGGTCAGTGATTGGATGCATGTCGACCAGATCGTTTCACACTTCTTAGTATTCTAATCAGCTTGATTTTTCTGTCCCCCTCCCCGTGGTTTCCAACAGGTTCACTGGAGCTTTCAGCGGGTTGGCGCTCGTGTTTGCTCTTCCATGCCTCATTCATCTCGAAGCGCTGCGTCGCGCAAACAAGTTGACGCGCACTCAGCTCGTTCTGCACTGGGGCTTGATTGTCCTTGGCGCTGGCAATTTGATTGGCCAGTTTGCGGTTCTTTGATTTTGAGCATTTTGTTTTTGGTTTGCTCGTGCATCCTCCTTGCGTTTTGACGTTAACATGTCTTGCCATTTATTAAAATTCGTTTAGAATACAAGTTCGCTGAAAATCAAAATAACAACAACAGCAACAATAACGAAGCGGGACTAAGAACACCTGCGAAAACCTGAGCAGCCTACTTGTGGGGGTGCTCGTTCGCTCGTGTCTTGTAGCTAATCACTGGCCGCATCACTGCAACCACTTGAATCAGGTTTTTCGATTGCAAATCGTCCACAACGTCCGAAATTTCCTTGTAGGCATCGGGCGCCTCTTCGTACAGGAGCTGCTTGTCCTCGCACACGACGTGACTACCGAGAGGGGTGGTAGTGAGTGCGCTGGGCTGAGGAAAGCGTGATTTGCCAACCGCCAGCGCCTTGGAGCGCGCCCATTTCCGACCTGCACCGTGCGCCAGGCTGTAGCCACCAAACTCTTGCGCGTCCGCGTTCGAGGTGGGCATCACGAGATAACTGAAAGCACCGCGCGAGCCAGGAATGACCACGGGGCCCTTGTCGGCAGGGGCGGCGCCTTTGCGATGCAGCCAACAGCTCGAGCCGTCAACCAACGGCGTCCGGGCCACCGAGTTGTGCCAAATGTCAAGAATCTGGGTGCCCGAGGTGTTGAGTGCGTCAAGGAAACGGTTTGCAATGATTGCGCGGTTGCAGCGGGCCCAGCGACAGGCGTGGTCGTGCGACTTCAAGTAAGTTTCGCAGGCAGGACTGCCTTGCGCGACGCCGACCGCGCCCAGCGTGTCGAGGTGCCGCGAGAGCACTGCGCGTCCAAACCCACGCGACCCACTGTGAACGAGCAGGTAGAGGCTTTCTTCCGTCATGCCAAGCTGGGCAAACAGCTCGCGATTCTCGACACGCTCGACTTGCTGCAGCTCTGCAAAGTGGTTTCCGCCGCCAATCGTGCCGAGGCAAGCTGCATCGTGCTCCGTCGGCTCTACATCGAACTCGCGCAGCCACCGAGGCACGTCTTCGCCCTGGTACGCGCGGTCGAGGTCGTGCAGCTTGTTCAGCCACTTGTCGGCCTTGTGTGCGTGCTTGGACTGCATTTCCGTCTTGAAGAGCGCCATGCCGCAGCCAATGTCATCTCCAATCAATGCAGGGTACACGATCGACCGCGTAGCAAATGCCGTGCCCACTGGAAATCCCTTCGAGACGTGCAAATCGGGCAATCCGACGGCGAACACGACGTCTTCCAGCGACGCAGCGACCTGGTGGAGCTGCTTTACAGCATCGTCGTCGGTCCAGCTCTTGTCAGCCAGCACGCGAATGCTCGGGGCAGCCAATTGCGCAGCTAAGTGTTGATGGGGGGCCAGTTTCGGCACTGGTGAGTAAGTGACGTCAACATTCGCAGCGTGTTGCGTAAGAAGCGAGTTGTCAGTGTTACCGGAGGACGAGGCCGAGGCCGAGTCGCCGTTGCCCGCACTGATCTGCGGAGTGCTGCTCGATGAGGCACCAGCAGGAGTAGATGCAGCAGCAGAAGCAGTGGCGGTGGTGGATGTGGCAGCAGCAGCGGTGGTCGATCCGACAACAATGCAACCAGATGGCAATCCCGTCACATCGCCATCCGTCTGCAGCAGCATCTCGGAGCCGTCTGGCATGATCCGGTACAGTGCCTTGGCTTTGATACGCAGCTTTTGCTTGAATGAGGAGACGAGTGCAGTGTACGTCGTGTCTTGCTCAACCATCTACCAAAAAAACCAGTCCAAATCATCCAAATTTGAGCGCGTCAAAAACGAACGCGTGAACAAGCACGAAGCACATCCCCAACGGTAAACTCTTCCGTACCACGAGCTTGGTGTTGCGCAAGTCGCCCCGCACTGCGAGGGACAGGCGTCGTGCAGTTGACTGGGAATCCAGGATTTGTGAGATGAAAAAATTTGGAGTGACAGAAATCCGAGTTTGGAAACTCAGATTTCGATGTCAGGCGCGCTGTCTCCATGTGCATCCACCACAGATCCAATAGAGACACACGCAAAATGGCATAGATTTATGTGAATATGCTCTCATCGGGAGCAGGCGTGCATTGAACTTGTCGTCTCTTTTTGCTCTTGTTTTTCGCCGTATTGCAATGACTTTTTGTCCTTTGTCCTTTGTGCCCTTTCTCTTCGTCTTTTTTCCTCGTCGTTTTTCACTATTCTCTGCTTTCATGTGACTCAGATCTGAGTTGCTTTGTCGATAGGAAATTTTCTTTGATCCATTTTTCTTACTTTTAGTCCTCTTTTTTTTTTTTTTTTTTTTTTTTTTTCAATTCTCTTTTCAATTTCCAATGTCGTTCGCACCCGAGTTGGATCCGAGCATGGAGCCGCGGTCGGACGGCCGCATCGTCTGGGTGCTGCTCCTCACTGCCAGCAAGACGCTCGCTGAATCGCAGCACTACTCGCTCCCCAAAGGTGCAGCACCAAAACACAACGAAACATGAAAGGACAGGCGACTCGGCTCCTACGACTCGCATGAAACAGCGCGTTACTCACCTAAAGTGTGCTTGACCATTGAAAAAACCCCCCTCACTGCTTGAAACGCAGGGAGCGTGCTGCGATTCGCGCGAGATTCGACGCTGCAAGGGTTTCGAGTCAATCTCTACTGCAACTACCCGTCAGCGATGACCGAGTCCGAGAGTGCCTCATCATCGTCAACGCCAAGGACGTCCGTGTCAAGCGTGGGGTCGAACGAGCTGGCAAGCGCTGCCAGTCACGGCCAAGGCGCCGCCGGCGAATCGGCCGTCCTACCGACAGTGGTCGTTTCGGAGGCCGCAGCTCCCCAAGCACCACGTCTTCGACCGTTCAACCGCGACGTCTACACTCATCTAGAATGGTAACGCTGCTGCATGGCTTTGCGAGGGCCAACGCATGCACGAGGCGGGCTTTTTTCCCCCGTTGTTGTTTCACTCACTCCTCGACTCGATAACTCACTCCAACTACACCGCCTCTCTCTCTCTCTCTCTCTCTCTCTCTCTCCCTCCGTTGTAACACAGGCAAACGGTGACAACGGGATCCGCCATTGACTCTGGCAGTCGCTTTGCCGACCTTGAAATCGACCGGTCGGGCGCCTTCCAGTTTTACGTCGATTGTGAGCCCATCGACCCGCGCGATCAGTAAGTTGTTTTGAGTGCTTTCCGTCTCCAACGCTTTGGGGGGGGGGGGGTTTGAGATGCAATTATCTCATGCTTCTCGCGAGGACTTTCCACTCACCTACCCATGCCCATCCGCAGCTCTCCTGGCCAACGATACGCTGGCGCGTTTGTCGTCCAACCAAACTTGCTCATTCGCGGGTTGGCATTGCAACTCGACGCGATCTGCATGCAAACGGTCTTGTCAAAGTGCCTTGGCCGGGTGGATGACTGGGAGCGCCGACTGAAGCCCTCCATGGAAGCCGGTTACAACATGATTCACTTTACGCCGCTGCAGGCGTTGGGCGGCTCCAACTCTGCGTATTCTCTGAGCGACCAGCTGCGCCTCAATCCAACACTCTTCCCAGGATTGTCGACTGAAGACGCTTGGAAGCGACTCGCTAGTGTGGTGCACGAGCTCGAGTTTGAGCACGACACGCTTTCTGTCTCGGACGTTGTGTGGAACCACACGTCCCCCGATTCGCCCTGGCTGCCGCTTCACCCCGAGGCGGGATTCAACCTGGACAACAGCCGCCATCTCAGAGCCGCCTACGTTGTCGAGGCCGCGGTTTGTCAGTTCTCTCGGGACCTTGCGCGGAATTTCTTGCCTGAACTTGGCGCAGAAATCACCTCAGAAAGTCACGTTCACGATATCGCCGAGTACCTGCGCGATGCTGTCCTGCCTAGCCTGGCGCTCTGGGAATTCTTTGTCATCCACGTTGACAACGCCCTGGCCGAGTTTCGAACGCGGCTCCTGTCCGACTCACAACTACCTCGCCACGATCTGCCGGGCCAGCTCTCTGCAGACGAGGAGCTGGCTCACATCTTTCCACCGTCTCGCCACCGCCTCGGAGACCGCTTTGAGCGCACTGCCGATTTGGACGTGGCTATTCTGCTGTATGGCCGCGACGCCCTCACGCAAGTCCGTGCCTTCCTGCGAAACCGCACCCCAGACGCGGCTGCAGCGTTGTCCGAGGCAGATTTGCATGCCAACCCTGCACTCCTCAACCTGATTGGCCAAGCTTGCCGGCGTTTCCGAGATGCGCTCGACCGGATCAACCTGCCCATCTACCACGAGACGGACGCGCTGTTGGATGCCATCGTGGAGAACATTTGCAACACGCTTCGTTACGAACGCCTCGATCCCAAAGGCCCTCGCAAGCCGGCTGTCACGCTGGCCAAGCCGTTGCTTGATCCGTACTTTACCGTGCTTCCCGGTGCGTACGCCCCGTCCCCTGTGCCAGCCACCTGCCAGCCTGACGAAGTCCCGGCCGATATTTCCTTCCAGCGCCTCGTCCAGCCCATCCAGCCATGGTCTGCGTCGCACATTGCCGACTCGGAGCTTGGCACCAAGCGCGTTGCTCCACACACGGTTGAGGCCGCCGTGACCCCGAGCTTGATTCTGGCCAACAACGGCTGGATTTGGGCATGGGATCCCATCCGGGACTTTGCTGGGCCGGACTCTCAGGCGTACCTGCGTCGACAGGTGATTGTGTGGGGCGACTGCGTCAAACTGCGGTACGGCTCCCAACCCTCGGACTCGCCGTGGCTGTGGGCGCACATGCGCGAGTACGCCATTCAGACGGCGCGCATTTTCCATGGTATTCGCATCGACAACTGCCATACAACGCCGCTACCGGTGGCAGAGTACCTGCTGGACGCGGCTCGCCAGATCAACCCAGACTTGTACGTTGTCGCCGAGTTGTTCACTGGCTCGGATGCAACGGACAAGGTGTTTGTCAATCGCCTTGGCATCCACTCGCTCATCCGCGAAGCCATGTCTGTCGCCGCCCCAGCGGAGCTGGCGCACTTTGTCCACATGTACAGCGGGACGCCCGTCGGCTCGCTGCTTCGTCTTGGTACCGTTGTTCCCCTCGTGCCGACGGCTTGCCACGCGCTTCTGATGGACACCACGCACGACAACCCGCTCCCTTCAGAGAAGCGCACTGTTTACGACACCCTGCCCAACTCGGCGTTCGTGGCGATGGCTTGCTGTGCAACGGGGAGCAGCCGTGGCTACGACACTCTGCTCCCGCATGCCGTCAATGTTGTGACTGAGACGCGCTACTACAGCTCGTGGGTGGAGACAACCGACGAAAATCCCAGCCTCGATCCATCCGCAATCACGACGCTGGACAGTGGCATTACGCGGGCCAAGGCCATCCTCAACAGTCTTCATCGAAGCATGATCCCCAACATGTTCAATCAAACCTTCGTGGATCGGCTCACTGACAACGTCGTCGCCATCACGCGGCACTGTCCCATCACCCACGAGTCGATTGTCATGGTTGCGCACTCTGCCTACCATTCCACCCCGTCGCAAGATCGCTCGTGCAATGCGTCGCTGCTGCTGACGGGAACGTGCTCGTCCATCATCTTTGAAGCCATGCTGCTCGAGGACCACGTGCGCCCGTACAAGCCGAGCTCTGAGTTTCTGAACGGCTTCCATCACAAGCTGTACATTCGGCAGGACTTGAGTCCGAAGGAATCCGAGTTTATCGTGCTCACCGACACGTCCGTTGCCCAACAAGAAGTGGTGCAATCGCTGTCGTTCAAGTCATTCCCTGCTGGTGCAGTGATTGTCTTGAAGGTCATCCCGCCCGTTCAGGTGCAGCAGGCTGCTGATAGTCTGCGTCGCCGTCTCAGTCAGGACACGGTCGACACAATGCTGGCCGTGCGACACGCGGCAGATTCCACCATCACGAACAAGCACATGCTCAAACTCACGAAAGGCCTTGCGCGCAGCGGCTCGGGCAGCAATCGCAGTCTGCAAAGTCTCGCAATCGACACGGATGTCCAAGAAGTCCTACGCTCGTCTTCACCCGTCTCTGAAGGAGATGCCCATGCTCGCGGGAGTGGCGGCGGCTTGAAACGGCAAACTTCTTCCGGTTTCAATCTCAACTCCCCCCTCGTTCGCGTGGTCTTTGGTTCTTCGCCAAGGCTGGCTGCCCAACCTGGGATGGAAGTGCTGAGCGAAGAAGTCGCTGGCACTGCCCACGATGCTGAGCTGCGTCATCTTCTGCACCATCTCACGCTGGTCGACCTCAACTACATCCTGTTCCGGTGCGATGCCGAGGAGCGGAACGATTCCGCCGGCCGCGATGGTGTCTATCACTTGGACAGCATCGGGGACTTTGTGTACTGCGGATTGCATGGGCTCATTCGCATTTTGAGACAAGTCACCCTGCACAATGATCTCGGTCATCCTCTCTGCGACAACTTGCGCCGTGGCAACTGGCTGCCAGACTACTGCGCCAACCGTCTGCTTCGGCCTGAATGCAGTCCAGCCACGCGGGGCCTGGGGCGTTGGTTGCAGACCATGTTTGGTTTCCTCTGTCGGCTTTCTCGGCATTTGATCCCCACCTATTTTGACATGATTGTGTCGTACCTGCACGGAAAGCTCCTGTATCATAGCTGGCAACTCATGGGCCCGGCGATCGGGAAGGGCTCGGCGCTGACGCGCATGCTCTGCTTGTCATCGATCTCGTTGTTTGGCCAAATGCAGCACTCGCCACTCTTAGCAATGAGACCCGGCCTGATTCCGAGCGCGCATTCCGTCTCGCTGGCCGCGGGCCTACCCCACTTTTCCAGCGGCTATATGCGCTGCTGGGGTCGCGACACGTTCATTGCGCTGCGCGGCTTGTTTTTGGTGACGCAGCGGTTTGCCGAAGCGCGTGAGCTGCTGCTTGGTTTTGCCACCACACTGAGACATGGCCTCATCCCCAACCTGCTCGACAGCGGGCGCAACCCACGGTACAATGCCCGCGACGCGACCTGGTGGTTTTTGCAAGCGCTGCAAGACTACTGTTCCATGGCGCCCGAAGGGACGGCGATTCTTGCTGCCAAGGTGGTGCGCATCTTCCCTTACAACGACCAAGCCAAGTGTGACGAGTACCACCGCACAGTTGAGAGCAATCTGCCTCCTGCTCCCGCCGCGAGAACGGAGCACCCTCATTCTCGGCTCGTCCACAACAACAGCAACAACAGCAACAACAACAACAACAACAACAACAGTCAGCACCACCACCACAGCCCTCTGAACACTTCGGCCTCGGCCTCCACCTCACCCTTGATCGTGGCGGGCCGAGCTGCAGGCGAGTTTGAGTGGAAGCCGGAGCAAGGCGTTTCTTCCAAAGCCGTGGTCATGAGTTTGGCCGAAATTGTCCAGGAAATCATGCAGGCTCATGCCACTGGCATCGCGTTCAGAGAGTGGAACGCAGGTCCGCGGATTGACGACAAGATGCGCGACGAGGGCTTTAACGTTCGGATTGCGCTCGATCCTGTGACGGGCTTTGTCTTTGGCGGCAATGCCAACAACTGCGGCACGTGGATGGACAAGATGGGCGAGTCTGCTCGCGCGGGCAATTCCGGCCAGCCCGCAACACCACGAGACGGCGCAGACATTGAAATCATTGGTCTTGTCAAGTCGACCGTGCGCTGGCTGGCTCATCTCGGCGCCAACGGAGACTTTGCTTTCCAGGGTGTGACGGTTGCAGCTGGAGATGTGCAGGCGGCGGCCACCACGCCCAGTGTTGGTGCCGCTCTGGCCCAGCAGCCAACGGCGTTTGTCGAGGCGCTTCGCCGCGCCAATCTTGCTGCTGCGAGACCGGACGACGGCTTCTTGTCGTACAAGGAGTGGAATGCTCGTCTTCAACTCGCGTTCGAGCCGTACTTTTGGGTACCACCGCTTCCGGTCATGGATGCCAGTTATGCGATTGACCGCGCAACGGTCAATCGTCGCGGCATCTACAAGGACACGCTCGGAGCCACCCAGCATTTTGGCGACTACCAGCTCCGTCCGAATCAGTGCGTCGCAATGACGGTTGCACCAGAGCTCTTCTCCCCCGAGAAGGCCATTGCTGCGCTGCAGGTGATTGAGCAGACCTTGGTGGGGCCTTTAGGCATGCGCACATTGGATCCCAAGGATTGGGCCTATCGCGGTGACTATGTCAACAGCGTGGATTCAACCGACCACGCAACGTCCCGTGGATTCAACTACCACCAGGGGCCGGAGTGGGTCTGGTGCACTGGCTACTTTTTGCGTGCGTGCATGAAGATGACGACACTGAGCTCTGAGGATGGCAGTGACTTTGTTGCGGCCACGGCCCGCCCTCCCGCTCCACGCGTCCACGAGATCCATCGTCGCACCTCCTTCCCCGTGCAAAGGGCCTCTGTTGTGCCAGAATCGTCCTCGCAGGACGACGGTCATCTGACGGCGCTGATCGTCGAGGCAGCCCTTGCACGGTATCGCGAGGCCCTACTCGACTCGCCCTGGCTAGGCCTGACGGAGCTGACCAACACCAACGGGACCATCTGTGCCGACTCCAGCCCAGTCCAGGCGTGGTCTGCTGCGTGTGCTCTCGACGCGCTGCACGATGCTCATGTTCTGCAGTCAGAATCTGTCGCCCGCAACTTCTAGTTGGCGTACATTGCCGTCACCCAATGAATGCCGTCACCCAATAAATGCCGTCACCCAATAAATGCCGTCACCCAATAAATGCCGTGTTTTTGATCTTGATGTAATTTGGATGGATGTGCTCAGTTCAAATTTTTTGCCAAATGTACGTTTTGAATTGATCGGTAGGGCTCAATGGTCCACCAGGCACATTGTTTTTTAGGGGCTGGCAATGCGCGATAAGACGACGACGACGATGATGATGATGATTATGATAATAATAATAATAATACTATTCCTGATGAGGAGGATGGAGGCAATGGTGTTGTCGTCTTGGTGGAGCAGAGTTGGAAGGTGGGAAAAATTGTTCCAAACAAAATGATCTAAAAATGATCTACCAAACCGTTACGCGACTCGAGAACCTTGTGTCTCTCGCGCAGTTTTGCGCAGTGTGCATTGGGTCTGAGTTAAGCAGAGACACTTCTAATGGAAGAACGTTGCAGCATGGGAGGTGATTGACCGAGAAATGTGGTTGGGTGGAACGTGCACGCGCGGCTGTTTGTTGTTTACCTGTTTTCTTTCGGTCTGCTGATCTCAACTCGGTTTGACAGATTTTTGATCTATCGTCAATCATGGCCCGCATTGCAACCTGCGTCCTCCTTGTCGTCGCACTCGCTGCACTCTCCAAGTCTGCAATGGCCTACGACGGCGCCTTTGCTGTGTTCACCGACGGCGCATGCGCTGGACAGATGGTGGAAATGCAACCCACCACCAACAACGTCTGCGTTCAGAGCGCGAATCTTGGCAACTACCTCAAGTTGAACATCATCTCCAGCACTCAGCTGACGTACAGTGTCAACTGCAATGCAGGCTGTGCAGCATGTGCCACCACGAACACGGCCAACTTTGGCGCCTGCGTTCCCATCACTACTGGCAAGTGGGTCAAAGTGAACACTCTCAAACACACGTCGTTGACTGTCAATTCGTACACCAGCACTGGCACCTGCAGCAGCACTGGCACCAACACTGTTCAAACTGTGAATAGCGGAGCTTGCGTTGCTCAAACTGGAGGTTCAGCACTGTTTATGCAAGCGGTGGATCTCGGCAACAGCAAAGTTTGGTACAACTTGTACTGCGGGACAGCCTGCACCGCCTGCCGTGGCATCGGCCATACCCCTTCGGACACTTGCAGCAACATCAATCCTGGCATGTCCACTTCAATCCACATCAACAGCTCGGCGTCACTCACCGCGTCCGTCACCTTGATCGGACTCGCTGTTGCTGTCCTGTCTGCTTTTTCCATTCTTGCTTAACCGTGATTGTGTCGACCTATTTGTCCAGATGTGTGCTAAGGCAATTGTTGAATTGTTCAAACGACTGTTTATAAAGGTGTCACACATTCAACCACTCTTGTCTCGCTTTTTCTCGGTTGCGTACATTCCTGCCACCAGCAAATGCCGCATTTGATCTACTAGTATTTTGTGATTTTTGAATTCTGTTCCTATCCAAGTTTTTGTGAAGTTCATTCTTCTCTTTTTCGGTAAAATCGCACGTCGTAGTTTGCACCTTGTACATGCCACCCAAACTGAAATTGATCGGTTTTGCGTTTTGCGGCCACCCCAAACCAAAAGCAGCCGTTTTTGCGCGTGTGTTTAGTATGCGCGATGAAACGCATTCGGTAAAGACAGCGCGACTGCCAGGGTGCAGCCAACGCGAGTGAATGGGAATTCAGGGAACAGATAGATTGATCTACGCGTTTCCAAAAACAAACAAACAAAAATGATCTATCACGGATTTTCTCACTGTGCGTTGTCTTCCCGTCGATTTCCTAGCGGTGGATTGGAGAGGACATTGTGTACATGACCCACTGCAGCTAACACTGCGTGGCAGAGAGACAGAGAGAGCAGCGAGCGAGACTTGAATGTTGGGGGGTGACGAGATCACGACGCAAATGGAAACTTGTTCTCATGAATGTGTTGTTTGTTTATTTTGATCTATGCAGATTTTGTTTGGGTTTTTTTACCAATCATGGCCCGCATTGCAACCTGCGTCCTCCTCCTTGTCGTCGCGCTCGCTGCACTCTCCAAGTCTGCAATGGCCTACGACGGCGCCTTTGCTGTGTTCACCGACGGCGCATGCGCTGGACAGATGGTGGAAATGCAACCCACCACCAACAACGTCTGCGTTCAGAGCGCGAATCTTGGCAACTACCTCAAGTTGAACATCATCTCCAGCACTCAGCTGACGTACAGTGTCAACTGCAATGCAGGCTGTGCAGCATGTGCCACCACGAACACGGCCAACTTTGGCGCCTGCGTTCCCATCACTACTGGCAAGTGGGTCAAGGTGAATGTTCTCAAGCACACGTCGCTGACTTCGACCTTCACAACCAGCAGTGGCACCTGCGCCGCCGGCACCAACATTGTTCAAACTTCAAACAGTGGAGCTTGCGTGGCTCACTCTGGCTCTGCTCTGTTCATGCAAGCGGTGGATCTCGGCAACAGCAAAGTTTGGTACAATGCTCAGTGCGTTTCGGGCTGCACTGCCTGCCGTGGCATCGGCCACACCCCCGCGGACACTTGCAGCAACATCAACCCTGGCATGTCCATTTCTTTCCACATCAACAGCTCTGCGTCGCTCACCGCGTCCGTGACCTTGATCGGACTCGCTGTTGCTGTCCTGTCTGCACTCTCCATTTTTGGTTGAACGGTCATGTGAGTGGCATTTATATAGCCTGTACCCTTGAAAAACGAATTGTCAATACAGCACGACGTAATACAAGTATACTTTGACATGTCAGACAAAGCAATCCAATGAAACGAAAATGAAAGAATTTGCCAAAAAGACCAACTACAGAATTCGAAAAAAACAAAAAAAAAATCAACGGCTCGCAACCTCACATGTCGTTAATGGCTAACGACAAACGAGCAATTGTCTGAATGAGGGAGCCGTTCTCTTCTTTGAGGTCATTGTACATGGCCAGAGAGCGCTTCCACTCGCCATCCACGGTACCATACAGCACATTGAGGCGCTCGTAATCGACTGCGGACTGGTCTTGAGCCTCCTTAATTTTGCGCTCAGCCTGAAGGGGTGACAAAGTACGACGATTTTGTGAGCAAGACCGTGTGTCAGCAGCAATGCCCCTCTCCACCCTTTCAAAAAAACAAACAAACAAAAAAAAAGTCAAGCAAACCTTAGCTGCCTCTTTGGCAATCGAACGCTCGAGCAGTCGCCGTGCATGCTCCAGCGGTCGCTTTTTGAGCACGTCGCAGAGGACCTTGTACTTGGCGGGACCTTTGGCCTCAAGGTGGTACTGCCAGAAAAAACCAACTCACGAGTATCAGTACAAGTCCTGCAGAGTCCTTTGCGTGGCATATCGATCAGGTTGAATCCGTTGCAATACCTTCTCATCGGCGAGCTCGGTCCACACGTCGGATAGCTCATCAAAGTCGGTCACGTCCTCAAGCTGAACGTCAGCTACCAAGCCATTGATCAGGTTGGTGCAGAGTGTCAACGAATCCATTTCGTTTTGCTTGCGGTACTCTGCGTACATGGTGCTGACTCCGGTCTGAAGCGGACGGCATATCAGTTTCAAAGTTACAACAGTGCAAAAGCCCAAATGAAACAACTGTCTCCACACCACGCCCAACTCACACGGAATTGCTCCTCAAAAGTGCCAGAGAGCGCTGCAACCGTGGCCTTGCGGAACAAGGTGCCAGCGTCCAGCAAGTATTGCTCGTGTTTGACAGTCAGCTCCTCCGCTTCCATGACCTTCCAGACAGAAAACAGCTCATTCATTCTGAGGCATCGACATGTTCAGGTCAGAGCAACGGTTGCTACCAAGGTTCCAGCGTTGTGGAAAACAAAACGAAATAACAAACAAAAACAGTTGTGTCTCATACCGGTCCTTGTAAAGCTTGAGGGATTCTTTCAACGCACGCTCGCCCTCGATTTGAACGACATTTTGCCATGCCGTACCGATTGTTGGGACACTACCCGCGTTAATGGCATCAACGTAGTTGTGGACGAGGTTGACCAGCACTAAACCGCGTCACCGCAGGCATGTGAGCACCAAACCAATGCAAAAACCAGAAGTCCAGACCCAACTGCATCATAAATCGTGTTGCATACTTCGGCCGTTCACTGCTTCGCCGAAGAGGCGCTTGACGCGGGTCTTTTTGAAAACGGTGGTTGTGAAATCGTCCAGTTGCTCGATAAATTCTTTACGGAAATCTTTTCGCGGGAGCGTGTCGAGCTTCTGGAGCAATTTTTCATCGCTCACGGGGCGAACGAGTGTCTTGCACTCACGCTCTTGGAAAAAGGCAGTGATAGAGCTGCGAATGAGATTCTTAGTGCGAACTTGCTCGACGTCGCCCTGAACGAGTGCAAGAGCGCAAGAAGAGCAAGTGGGGCGAAATCAGATTGCAACGTTTGGCCATCGACTTTTGTACAATATCAGAGCAAGCAGTGTGCTTCGTACACGAATGGGAAGCAGCGCCTTGTCGAGATACTGTCGTGCAGAAATGTCATGGCCATCCATGTGAAGCTTGAGAGAGAAATCGCGAACCACCCACAAGAACTGTCTCAGAGACAAACCCCCACACAAAAACGCAGTGAGCACCAGCACGACACATTGTCTGCTTGCCTTCCTTGCCAATCACCGCCTAGAATGGCCTACCGCAGGCGAAAATGCAGCAAGCTCGCGCGCATCCTGCACGTCTTCGTCCGTTTGGATGCGAATGTGCTTTGTGAGCTCCACAACCAACGAAAGTTTGTCGAGCGCAGCTTCGTCAATGCTGCCGGTCGAGTTGTAAATGAAGAGCGATGACAGCAGCACCGACAACGAGAAGAGCTGGACGTCGAAGGTTTCCGACCGTGCGTACGAGCCCAACCCCTGCGTGAACGACGGACGACAACGTAGAACCAAGTCAGTCTCTTGACACGGGCGTCGTCGCCATCATCATCATCATCATCTTCATCATCATGATGATGATCTTGCATGGTGTTCGCCTATGCAAATACAAGATTCCCCAATTGCCCAATTGGGTACAACAAACCTCAGTGTCGAGCAGCAGGACTCGCGTTCCCCGAGGAAGGAGCCGAGCAAAGCGATCGTCAATCTCGTCCGAGTCGAGCAGCTTCATCCATATTCCGTGAGTGCATGGCTCTGGATGAGCATTGAAAGTGAGAGTCGAGGCAAGTCAGTCTCCAGCGCGAAATGTACGCAGATTCAATCCAAGGCGAACTGCCCGTTTCGTTTCGTTTTGGGGGGAAAGCCAAACCAGCAACATTGCTGACTTGCAACTCATATCGAATATCCATTACCAATGGTCGATCCGACCGAGAAGCAGCCGGTTTGGTTTGCGAGCTTGTTCAGAATGAATGACTTTCCAGTGCGATACAATCCAGCGACGCAGACGACCTGGCAGCGAAATCCGATTCAGAAAGCGCAAAATCAAAGATGAGTGCACGACCAAGAGAACACTGCGTTGCTGCTGCTCATTGAGGGGGAGAGAGACAGAGGGAGAGAGAGAGTGTGTGTGTAAGAATGCAATCCACAGTAGGAATGGCGTAGGGTTAGCAAATGGTACCACCGGTGGTGAGAACAAGAGTAGCAGTCGAGCACGTTTAAATACTTGACTCCATACGGCAGCCTGCCAAAAATTCCAACTTTTTTCCCCTTCCAACCCACACATCCCCAGCAAAAGCGCCAGTCCCGTCGGATTTCCAAAGGCAACAGCGGGTTGACGAACGCAATGAGACAAACGACTTGCCCTCCGAGCGACCTTTGATCTGGCGTTCGTTCTGCTCGATGCGGTTGGTTCGATGGACGTAACGACCGCATTCATTTTTCAATCCAAATGCAAACGTACAGCGAGATGCTCGTCGACCTCGCCGATTATGTCGAGGGCGTCCGGATTGACGACGAGGCGCAGGTCCTCGTCCTCCTCGCTCATGTTCACCGTCACGAGCGGAATCGCAGGCATTGTAGTGAATTGAATGAATGAATGAAACAAAAAAAAAAAAAAAAAAAAAAAAAAAGTGGGAATGGATGGAGATTGCTGAATAAGGAAGAAAGGCCGACAAAGGAAATGGGTGTGGGAATTGTCTGAGATTTGTTGGAGATACAAAAAAAACAAAGAGAGCAAGTTGGATGTTGAGCACTTTTGCAGACAGCAGCACTGAGGCGTTTTTCAATGAAAATGAAGCATCACAATGGAGATTCTGAAGTCAAGGCATCATCAAACACCGCTGCCCCTCCGTTAGAGTGAGATCCGTTGACATCACTGCAAACTTAGGAGGAAACGCTTGTTGAAATGCAGGGATAGTTTGCACCCCACCACTCCTCACTCATTCAGGTGGACGTCTCAGACAGGAAAAAACACAATGAAGACGCGAGCAAGTCGGACTCCTGCTGCTGCTGCTGCTGTCGATGTAGTAGCGGCCTCGTCTCCAGCAGTGGATGACTCTTCTTCTTCTTCTTCTGCTGCTGCTGCTGCTGCTGCGATGGCTGCGCTGGTGGACACTGCATTCGGCGAGATTGTCAAGGCGTCCCATCGCATGCGCATGTAAAGCAACACATGGAACCAACAGCAGACAACTGCATACTGTGCAACACCACTCACTTTCACTGTCACTTGCACTGTCACTTTTGACAAACTGGTTGACGTTTGCTTGGACTGTGTTCGCAGGGAGTCGGGCGTGCTGCCAACGGCGCTGGATGCTGGACTCGGCGAGGCGCAGGGAACCCAGTCGCTGCTGGACGCCGTCACGCAGCAGTCGGTCGCAATGTCGTCCAAGACACGCTCGGGACCAGCTGCATCGACAGCACGCACGGGAAGCAGTGGTGGTGGCGGCGGCACGGACAAGACCACCGGCAGGAAGAAGAAGGAGCTCAAGTGGGGCGACTTGCCAGTGGGCAACTTGACGCCCGAGGTTGAGCGCGATCTGCGACTACTGCGCATGCGCAACTACCTCGATCCCAAGAAGCACTTCAAGGGATCCGACAGCAAGGCCCTTCCGAAGCATTTCCAGGTGTGTACCTGCAGTCGTGCGAATGAGAAACGGGGAGAGAACGTGCAAGTTCAAGCAATCGCTTGTTCAAGCACCGGATGGGGAGAACGCAAAGAGAAGGCGGGAACATACAGGCATCTAAACAATCATCCGTGTTGCTGCTTTCTGTTTGCTGTTGGACGGTGCAGATTGCTCGCGTTGTCGAGGGCCCAACAGAGTTTTATTCGTCTCGCCTGACCCGCAAGGAGCGCAAGAACACGCTTGTGGACGAATTGATGGCCGATGACCGGCTGCGCAAGTACCACAAGCGAAAGTTTGTGGAAATCGAGCAACGCAATGCACAGGGCCGTCGTGGCCATGTCAAGCGTCTCCAGCAAAAGCGAAAACCTGCGTGGATGCGAAAGTAGAACCAACCGCGGTTTTTTGTTTTGTGTGTGTTTTTGTCTGCCATGTAATCACCTTAATGAAATCGTCGTTTTTGAAATCATACTCCACTTTGTCCCGGGGCATGCAGGGTTGGGGGTTAGGGCAGATAGGGATTAGGGAGCATGGAGCAGGCCTGTTGCTGTTTGTTTGGCACCCCATGGCCACCATTTTCACCACCGACTTTCGCCGCACGCGGAGGAATTGAGCATATGCTCTCTGATGTAATCAACCGAAGATCGATTTCCCCCAATCGAAAGAGTTGGATTGAGCGTTGTAACATCTTTTGTTGGTGCGAATTCGCCGCTCACGGATCATTTTGCCCCTATTTAAGCAAATCCCCCGAACAAGTCACTCTTCTATTTCTCTAATAGTAATTCATCTACTACTACTGTTCAAGTACGATCTGGGTTGAGTGGTGTTGGCGTGGGTGTTTGGCGGACTTCCCCAACTAACGAGGTTCTCAAAGTCAGAAACCAAAGCAACCATGACGCACGACAAGTCTCAAATCCTTGCAGGAAAGGTTGCCATTGTCACGGGTGCTTCTCGTGGCATCGGACGCGGCATTGCCGAGCATCTGGGTGCTCATGGTGCGGCGGTGATTGTCAATTATTCCGTCAATGCGGACGCCGCGAACGAAGTCGTGACTGCGATTACCAAGGCTGGCGGTCGCGCCACTGCTGTTCAAGCTACAATTGGAGATGACACCTCTCAGGGCGAAAAGCTCGTTCAAGCGGCTGTCGATCTCTATGGCGGTCTGGACATTGTTGTGAACAACGCTGGTGTAAGAACTCGCGACAAAAACAAACAAACACAAAAATCAAAATGATTGGATCAACGGGTGAACATTTGTTGTGGATGAACCGTGAGCTAACTGGGCTCATGCGCATATCTTTCTTGAACACGTTTGAATGTGCCAGATCTTTGTCGGTGGAGGCCTGAGTGCTGCCGTCACGGTGGCGGACTTTGATCGCTCGTTTGCAGTCAACTCGAAGGGTCCGTTCTTTTTGCTGCAAGCTGCAGCAAAGGTGATTCGCAACAACGGTCGCATCATCAATGTGGGCACTGCGGCGGTTAGTTTTGGCGCCCTGAAAGGATTCGGCGTGTACGTTCCCTCGAAGGCGGTGATTCACGAATACACGAAACTGTTTGCTGCGGAGCTTGCCGAACGCGGCGTCACTGTCAACACTGTCCTTCCCGGTTACACTGCAACTGACATGCTTCCGGGAGCATTGGAAGAGCAGGGCAAGCAGGCCAGTCTTTTCAAGCGACTCGGAACTTCGGGCGACATTGCCGATCTTGTTGACTTCCTTGCTGGGCCTACTAGCGGCTGGATTACCGCCCAAAGTCTGCATGCTTCCGGCGGTGCCTCGTTCTCCCACTAGGCTGGGATGCTGGGATTTTCCTCTGTAGCAGATGCAAGCATTTCTCATTTTATTCGCCCAATGTTTCAATGTGTGTGAAACTTTAATACAATATCCGTCGAATCGAGTTTTCCACCAAATCTTTCAGTAACTATCGCATGCCAAGCCCCCAGGCACAAGCACGGGATCCATCGCTTGACCTGAACATGCAAAGCTTGTCATCGATGGTCTCTCGTACTATTTATCATTTTGCAGGTCGTGCTGCGATAGCTCACTTTCAGCGCGGCCGTAAAACCATAGACGGCGGGTGCTTGGCGCAGGTTCTACAGTACTTTGAGTGGGACGACCGAAGTCGTGGACTACATTGTATCGCAGAATGCAACTGCGGTCACGGACGTTTGTAGTCTGCAAAGCAGCATGGTCTGTCAGTGTCCGTCTCCAACGAACGGGGAAAAGCGC